GGGGACAGATGCATCTAGGTAAAGGTTTCCCTTGCTCGAAAGCTAGTTGAATCTGACTCTAGGGGGCGGTGCTCATCTCCGTTTCCAAGTTGAAGAGCCAGCGCTGTCCGAAGACATTTCCATGGTCATGTGGCCAGCATGACTAAACGCCAAGGTGCGTGGAACGCTGTTACCTGCCCACCGAAGTGGTACCTATTTATCTACTTGCAATTTCTTGCTTTCAAACTGTTAGGTTGGCAGGAGATGCATCTAGGCGGCAGTATATATTTAAGTGCCTGGACCACAAGATGCCAGTGCACTTCTCCTTCAGCTGCATCCACACTTCATTGGATATTGTGTTATCATTGTAGATGGTTGATCCAGTCCAGACAAGCCAATCCAGTTGCAAAGAATGCTTAACATAACTTCAACAGTGAATGTTTCCGAATATCTTTAGAATTACAGCTATCCTGTAAACATGTCTATATCCATCATGAGACAGAACAACCTTAACTTTTGGTAAACAACTTCCACCAAAGTTGCTCATCTAGCGGTGGCCAATATTTTGTGGTGAGAAGCAGCAGGCCGACATGATACTACTGAAAGAAGGGAGTGTGGAACAAACAGGCCAACTAGGAGAACTGTAACCTTCTTTTCATGGTCCCTGAGCATGAATGGGAGAATTAGCTTTGTCCAGGGGGAGCTGTCCTTTCCCAGGATCCCTCTCAGACTTCTCCTTCAACTGGAGCAAGTGAAGCACAGCTTTGCTCTCTCTTTGGTGCGCTCGTGCACAGCAACTGTAGAAGGAAACTGCCAGTGCTAAAATCAGCTCAGCTTGTCTGTTGTTAAGGAACAGGCGGATCGAGTACAAAGTCCTGCTCTTCCTGTAGAGATGACATTCCTTAGATTGCTTCATTAGGCAAGTCACAGAATATAAAAGAAGATTTTCCAGCGAGGACTCTTTTCTCACTCAGTTCTGCAATCTTTTCTTTTCTGCTCGGGAGGACCAGATACTGAAGGGAACAGAGCTCCTATATTTTTACAAGCGGCAATGCAACCAGTAATTTTGTTACATCTGGAACAGGCTCCCAATTTTACACCTGCCACACTGTGGGGGAGGGGAAAGGCAATGGGGTAAGTGAGGAACGTGGCGTAGCTTTAAGGGTACCACTGTTGAAATCCCAAGCTGGCAGTGAGTTTCAGGACATATCAAGCCCCTGGTGGGCCTCCATTACCCAGCTGATGATAACAGCTAGATGTGGTGGGTCCCCTAGTGCTGTGGTCTTCAACTCATGGGTCACGACTAGGGACGTGCATTCGGTTTGTCCGAACCGAATGCACCCCCGAAAATGGCCCATTCAGACCCCTTTCGGGCTGCTGTAGACCGATTCAGATTCTCTGATCTGAATCTTCTTGCTGCTGAATTGCTGCCGAATTTCGGCGGCAATTCGGCCCCATTATATCCTATGGGCCATTGAAGTCAATGGCGAAAACATAGGGTATATTCTGGGGGCTGGAGGGAAGGGGGTTTGAGGTAGAGGCTCCAAACTCACAAGGTAGCTGCTGGAGCCTCTCCCCAAGATACCAACCATGTTTGAAGAACATTGGGCCAGGGGGTCCAATTCTACGGGCCCACAAACAGGTTGCCCCTATTCCCTCCATTGTTCTCTATGGTGGGAAAAAGTAACTTTCCCCTCCTCAAGCCCCCTCCCCTCCAGCCCCCAGAACATACCCTATGTTTTCACCATTTACTTCAATGGCCCATAGGATATAATGGGGCTGAAATTGACATTCAGCTGGCCGAAAGACTCCCAAATCGGCTGGTACTGACAACACTGACATGCGGGAGTCTTACTGCCAGCCAAACTTGATTCTGCCCGATTCGGCCGAATCCGAATGGGCCAATTTTTTTTTTTCCACACCCCTAGTCATGACCCTCTCTTGAGTTGCTGAGCACCCTCCTTGTTGTGTATTGAGCCAGAGTCATCCCTGAACTAGTACCTGGATCTGGTTGAGCTTGTTTCTCCTGAACAATAGCTTACTAGGATCCTGGAGTAGACCAATAGAGAAACAGTGTTATGTAAATAGCCTAATCTTGGGAGAGGGGCATGTTTGGGGTGGGGTGATTGCATGCTTAAAAACAGGGCAGCTGCCCTGGAGTTTGTCTTGTAGTGTTCCTGTAATCACCTAACAAAGTAGAGCTGTTTCACTGCAATGCATCCAGAACCCAGTATTTAACACTCCTGCTGGATGATAAGCCTCCATGGAGCTGCCATTTTTGCTGACTTTTAGAAGAATGCGCTAAGAACAAGGGTGCTATGTCTTTCACCTCTTTCTGTTTGCATGCTGAGAAGAGCAGCAGGGTAGTATGATGAGGCTACTCAGCGGTGGAGCCTCTATTATTCAAGCCGGTTGGACTAGATGTAGACTGCTGTATACAGTCAAGAGAAATATGTAGAGCTTGGTGCTCCATCACTGGAGGTGGCCTGACGAAGTCCTTAAAGGAAACAGATGGAAACCCAGGCAGTCCATCGTCACACCTCTTAGCAGCTGTGTTTTGTGGACATCTATCAACTGTTAACTCCTCTTAGTTTTGTGGACATTAACTGTCAGGAATTTGTTGAACTGTATTGGACTATTTACACTGGTGTCTTTGGAATGGATCTGAATGGTTATTTAGAGTACTACACTGCTAATATAAGAATTTTTTGAACCAAGTGTCAAGTATTCTTGAGTATAGTGTTACAGATTTTTTTTTACTGTGTTGTTATATGCACAACCCTCTTTGCTGTACTTCCATTCATTTATTCTACACCACCTGGAGGACGACAACCCTACTTAATCCCCACTATATCCTCACCCCCCATCTTAGCAGCAATGGAGACAAGAGTCATAAGAAAATAAGTAGCAGGGACACCCAAAGCAGATGTACTCTGCTCACTGGGCGGAGCCTCTGCTTTGCCTGCAGAAGGTCCCAGGTTCAATTCCCAGCATCTTCACTTAAAAGGATCAGGTAGTAGGTGATGTAAAAGACCTGTACCTGAGACCCTGGAGAGCCGCTGCCAGTCTAAGTAGACAATACTGACCTTGAAGGACTGAGGGGAAAATTGAAATGATTGTATGGTGTTGTATGTGGAATAGCCAGGAGATCCCCAGGGGGATTGTTTGGCTGCCGAAGCTGTTATCTCTTTTTTGGCATCACTAGGTGGTGAGCTATGCTTATTTTTAGGCTGAGAGTGCTGTGACTTGCCTAAGGTCACCCAGCTAGCTTCAAGTGGGGAAGTGGGGAACTGAACCCAGTTCTCCAGATTAGTCCACTGTTCTTAACCACTACACCAAACTGCTTCTAGGACTCAGTAGAAGGCAGCTTCATGTGGGGCTTACTCCCAGGAACATATTCTCTCAAATCTTGGTGGCTGGGGGAATTATTTGGCCAGCTTGCTTTCCACTTCAAATGCTTCTCAGTGCTTTTCCTTGTTGTTGTATGCATGCAGGAGAGATGATTTTAAATGTGCTTGTTCTGGGTTTAGAATCCACTGGCAGCCAGGTAGGCAAGATGATTTACAATCACCTCCTAAACTTCCTTGTGCTTTACAGTGCACATTTGACTTTTGAGTAGTAGAATGTCAGCTGCTCTTGGAACCAGCTGAAAATGTAAGAGCTGGAATTTCTTATAAGCTGACAGCTGTCAAAAGGCTTAAAATAATTCTACAGGATATTCTGTTTGAGAGCAGTGATACAAATGGTTGCACTCAAACAGGATTTATTATTGTGACTGACTATTCTCCCACGCTAATTTTGCATGACATAGAAATGGTGACAGAAATTGATTTAATTTAAGGAGAAGGTTGCGAATTGGAATAGCGATGTAGACAAAATCTACCACCCTGAAGACAAATGGAATTGGATTCCAGCATTTTTGTTGTTGTTCAGACACAGTGTCGAGTCCAGCTCTTCGTGACCCAATGGACCACATCATGCCAGGCCACAACTGAGTGTCCTTTTGGCTTTGGCCCAGCCACTTCACTCTTTCTGGGGTTACTTGTACTTGCCCTCTGTTCTTCCCCCTAGCATATTGGACACCTTCAGACCTGAGGGGCTTCATCTTCTGGCCTCATATCTTTTTGCCTTTTGTTACTGTCCATGGGATTTTCTTGGCAAAGATACTGGAGTGGGCTGCCATTTTCTTCTCCAGTGGATCACATTTTGTCTGAGTTCTCTGCTGAGGCCTGTCTGTCCTGGGTGGGTGGCCCTCCACGGCATAGCCCACAGCTTCACCAAACCACTCAAGCCCCCTCGCCAGGTCAAGGCAGTGATCCATGAGAGAGGGATTCCGGCATAAACTTTGGTAAAGTACAGTCCCATTTTCTTCAGATCCTATTTTTGCTGCGGCAGACTAATAGCGCTACCCATCTAGAATACGGAGGCTTTTAAAATTGATCCTATATACACCTCCTCATCTTACCAACACACCTACTTGAAAATAAATGCCACCTGTCCATGCTCTTTAAAATACGGTTCCCAACCAACCAAAACTTCGTCCGTTAACTAGTCTAAGAAGTAAAACTACAACTCCCAGAGGCCCCTACTGCTACTATAAGGCATGCGCAGAAATCTCATTCAGCTCTTTCAGGCCGCCAGTATTCCTTTTTCTCTCTCTCTTCACCTCTTCGACGGTACGGCGTATCTGCTTGACCAAGCCGAAGCTTAGCGCGTGCGCGGTACGTTCGCTTCGGTTTAAAGAGACGGTTGAAAGGCGCCCTCTCCGCGACGCATGCGTCCGAACGTTCTCCCGTTCCTCCCACCAAAACCCTTCCTTCTGATGAACTGCGCGTGCGCACGAAAGCTGATAACCCAGAATTAAACTTTGTTGGAATTAAAGGTGCCGCTGGACTCAAAACTTTGTTCTGAGGCTTCAGGCCAACACGGCTACCCCCACCTGAATCCACCTGCCCCCTTTCGTTCTGGTTCCGCCTCCGATAGGCGGTGCCTTCACGAGGGCGCATGCGCGTCAGCCCGCACTGGTCTCCTGTGTTGGCGGCGGCGTCCTCAGTCCGTCGGCCGGAGTGTGCCTCGGTGCGGCGCGTGCGAGACGTAACGGTCGAAAGGCAACCGCCCTTGCTCAGGTAGGGCAGCGGAGAAAGGGGCTCAGAAGGGCTGAAGGCTCTCTGACAGGCGCACCGGAAGTTTGGCCACTGTCTGCGCTTTGCTCGCCGGGCGCGAGGGAGAAAGCACTCTGCACGCGCTCGGAGACGCTTCCCTTTCTGTCCATTGACAGGAAATCCTCGGGCGCTGAACCCCGACGCGGCGTTTCCGTCTCGGGGGACGGTGCTTTGAGGGGCTGAAGGCAAAAAGAGTGTCAGAGTTATGAACGGTCGGTGTTTTCGGTGTAGTCGCCTATTGCCAGGTATCGGGGAAATACCAAGCTCTGGCAATTTGCAGTAATTTTTTGAAAATGTTCGTTTATAACGTGTTATAGACACAAGTTCTGTCCCGCTAATGGTGGGACTTTCACGGGATGCGAGACGAGGGGGCTGGGTCCAGCAGCGGGGCTCACCGTTGGAGGAGCGCTTGCATTGGAGGAAGGGTCTGCTGTTCGCTACTAGGAACTTCTCTCTCCAGACCAGTATTTCTTGACTGGGTTTAGGTCAAAAAGTTTTCCACAGCAACTTACAGTTTAAAATGTGAATAGTAATAGCGTATTACAATGTACCGATTTAAACAGGGTTTTTTTTTTTTGGTTTTAAATGTTTATTAAGAGGAAGTATAACATATCAAGAAATATAATAACTGCAAAACAGTATACAAATGTCCTGAGAATCCAAAATTACAAACCAACCAGTTAGTCATCAATACAAATTTTTACAACATATATCAACAGTCATAACAAACTAAGTTAGTACTAAATCTGATCACCTATACATAGATGCTATGTGAGCTATGATTCCCACAGAATTGAGACAAGTTTAAAAGATAACATCTTCAGGAATCTGCTGCTCTGATTCACAAGAGGAGTCTCGACAGTAAGGTGGAGGTCTGACAGTTTTGAAGAACATGCCATTGAGTCACAACTCAATAAATAAATAAATAAATAACTGACTCATGGCGACCCCATCCATGGGGACCTTCCAGGCAAGAGACAAGCAGAGGTCATTTGCCACTGCCTTCCTCTGCGTGGCAACCTCAGTATTCCCTTGAGTGGAGCTGTTTTTGTGCTCTTGGATTTCTGTACAGGGCTAGACTCTGGGAGAGTCTAAAGCAAGAATGCATCCTTGCTTTGCTGAACCCTTTAAAAGGGAGGCTGGCGGGTCTTCGGAAGACTTTGCTAGTTCTCTCATTTAAAAAAAAGCACCCTGTGTAAAAGTTTTTTTGTTTATTATTTTTATTTCTAGTGCGATAAAAATATTCTTCTCAGTCGATCAGTAAGCCTGTTACAAGATACAATAACATTTGGCTCTGGTAAAGGTAAAGGTTTCCCTTGCTCGAAAGCCAGTCGAGTCCGACTCTAGGGTTGCGGTGCTCATCTCCATTTCAAAGCCGAAGAGCCAGCGCTGTCCGAAGACGTTTCCTTGGTCATGTGGCCGGCAGGACTAAACACCAAGGCGCACGGAACGCTGTTGTTCTGATAGCAGAGTGCAATTAGACTGAGGGGTGGGGATTGTATTTGGAGGGAGTGCATAAAATTGAGAGGGAAGAGTGGTGGGTTGTGAGAGGCATTTTGTGCTGTTGAAAGTTGGGGTCCTCTTCAGTTGAATGATATTTTGAAAAGCAAAAGAAGAGGACCTATTTCCCAACTACTTCAAACAAGTGATTGCTATGGCAAATCTCATTTTAAATACCCCTACTATGTAAGCTGTGGTAATTGTTACTAATTTGGAATATTCCTAACCTTCCAACCCAAAAAGAGAACATTTTCATCAATTTTTTAAAAAAGAGCCCAAAAAAGAATGGACACACAAAAAAAGAGAACGTCCTCTAGAAAGAGGGCATCTGGTAACCCTAGTTGAACAATAACAGGGGTGGAAGGAAAGTGTAGCCTTTTAAGTGCTGTTGTGGTAAATCATATGCACAAGTTCTCATAGATGAGTCTTGCTCCATCAATGTCCATGCCAAGGCAAGGACCCTAAACAGTTTAACATAGTTATGACTCTTCTGAAGGCTGTGTGATTTTGTGTGTGTGTGTGTGTGTAGAATAGCAGATTTTCTTAAAATTCCATTCTGAATTGTAAACTAGATGCTGCTTCTCAGCTTCTTTGACAAGTGTGCCACAAATTGTATATGAGAGAGTTCTACTTTACTGTACACTACATTTCTTATGCAGCGTCCCCACCCCAGTGGTTTGGTGTGGTGTTGCCTGAAGCTCAAGCAGCAGTGCAAAGCGGGAGAGGCAGGAAGGATCACAGAGCTGATAGTCTGCTGTAGCTGAGCCTGTATACCCTCCTGGTTCTTGTGTAGCTAATTACACAAATCCACAGTTTGACAGCTGCAAAACTAAGCATCTGTGATGGTATCTTCTAGACTGAACACGAAGTCCTGTTGGGTAGACAGAAAAGATCAGCCTAAGTCATCTTTACAGACGCCTCTGGGGCGGCATGAAATTGGGCCCCTGAGCCATGAATTACTGGAACTCATTTCTTAAGCGTTACATGAATATATTGTCTCATACTATAGAATTACAAATTAAATCCCTATTCCATTACAAGGTATCTTTGAGCTGTAATATATCTTAATTAAAAACTGAAATTTGGATAGGGTTTTTAAAATCTGATTTTTTAAAATGTTTTTAAAAATAGGTTTGTCACCTATATTTATACAGGTCAATCAATGTTAATAGGGCTATGTACAGGGTACCTAAAACCTATATTTAAAAAAACAGTTTTAAAAAAAGAGTTTGTCACAACTCTTCTGAAAGACCATTAGATTAAGAATATCTTTATCTTGATGATGCTTCTTCTAAAAAAACACATGGAGGTGGGGCCTGTGGAATAGAGTTTGCTAGACACAGGAGAACAGTGAACTGTCAGACCTATCTAAATCAGCTGGGAGTCGGGTGTTACTTGTATTTTAGGCAGTCTTATAAAGCTGTAGATGTGTGATATTTTTTTCTTTGTATCTGTGAGCTTTCTTAAAATATCCCAAGTAGGTCACAAAGTGAAATGTTGAAAAATGTTAGCTAGCTAAAGTCACAGTACCAATTAGGTTTAGTTGTGGTCGTACTTCAGTATTTTGAGACCAACAGGGTACAGGGCTAGGCAGTTGTTATGGCAAGGAAAACTGAAACCACTGAATCTGTTAATTCCTTTGTGAAAAGTGCACATTTTTAGCAAACAAAGAGGAGGGCTTGTATTCAGTTTGGTGAAGTGAATGGAACATTGCAGCATTGTTGAAAGAGAGCCTGAACTTCTCCAGTGATGTGGGTGGGTTTGTGTGTGTGTGAGAGAGAGAGACTATATCATCTTGGAGAAATTTCAAGATGTTGAAGATCATTAGCATATTTTGCAGGGTCCAGATTGGATGAGAATGGGCAACCTTCCATTGCCAAATTGGTGTAACAAGTGGTCAGTATAGTACAGGGGTGGTCAAACTTGCTTAACATAAGAGCCACGTACAATAAACATCAGATGTTTGAGAGCCACAAGACATGAACAGATATGATATGTTTTTACTGGGAAATATGCAAATTTGCTTTTTATTAACATTAAATGAGACCGCCCAAAAATAATAACAAAAGGGGTAAAAGCAGATATTGATAATGATATTTATTTGTCCAATTATATTTGTTTGATAATTATATTTAGCTTCTCCAGCCACCCTGTCGGGAGCTGCACAAGTGTGTGAAAGAGCCGCATGCGGCTCCCGAGCCACAGTTTGGCCACCCCGGCATAGTTCATGTCTGTTAACTTTAGAGGACCCAGGTTATAGGTAGCTGTAATGATAGCTTTAAAAAGCATTTGATTTACCTAGCTACTCTTAGAAAGAACATTGTAAGTTGGAAAACAATGGCTGATGCGTGGTGATTTTCTAGTATGGAAGTGGGCAAGGCATTAAAAAGTACTCACAAGTTACATGTTTTGAGCGCCCTGCTACAAAGGGAACAATACGTGCATATTTTGCCTTTATCACTGTGTTGTGGAGCAGGCTTCAATTTTCCCATGTAGCTTCAGGGTTCTGAGGCAGGAGGGATCTTTGAGGTAGGAAAAAATATAAAGCTGGCTCATATGTCATATTAGCAATTTTAATAAACAGCTAGGAAATACGTTAGTCTTCCCCCTCCCCCTTGCCCCCAGCAAGCATAAGCAAGTTTAGCAGGTATTCTGGATTTCAGTAGCTGTTAAAATCTCACTCTTCTGTAACAGAGCTCTTTTCCCAGACGGCCTGGTTTTTGAAGTAAGTAAAAGGCTAATTTAAAGTTCCCTTTTCTTGTAGCTCCTTTTGGGGGGTCAGGCATTTTGCAGGGTTTGGACACACTTGCTGTCGAAAGAGTAGGTTGTGATCAGTTTGAAGTGAGAATGATGACAGTAGTTGTACATGAAGAACTAGAAAAGGTAGATGAGTTCTTTGCAGAGTCAACTGATGCTCACAAGTTGGATGGAGAAATACATTCCCTTTTGTGCAGCCTTGTTCTCTTAACCAACAGTAATAGTGGCCTCTCTTAACAGTAGCAAGGAAATTTTCAACAACATTCAGTCATTGCTCACAGCAGTTTGTCAGACTTCCCACATTTAGAAAGGATTCACTGCAGTGATTTATCCACTGAGAAGCCTCTAAATCTCTGCCACAGAAGTCCTCGTTTTGGAGAATTCTGCATTATGTTCTAGGGCAGGGGTCCCCAACCTTTTTGAGCCTTTGGGCACCTTTGGAATTATGGCACAGTGTAGTGGGCGCAGCCACAAAATGGCTGCCACAGGAGGTAGAAGCCCTGTAGAATGGCTGCCACAGCTTGCCTTCAGTCACACAGTGAAAATTGTTGTGCTGTGGCAGCAGCCGCTGCCAAAGCAACCGTTTTTAAAAGCTGCATAGTCAATCAGAAGCATTGCTGGGCAAAAGTACTATCTGGTCCCTTTCTAAAATCAGTTGAGGGGCACCAGGAAAGATGTTGGCGGGCTCCATGGTGCCCACGGGCACCATGTTGGGGATTGGGGACCTCTGCTCTAGGGCACTGGTTCCCAGCTTTTTGAGTATGAGGACCCTTTTTTAACATCAGAAAAATTCACAGACCTTTCGCATGATAGTTGTTGTATTTTTAGTATCTTCAAGATGAAGTTGGAGTCACTTAGGATTTGTAAATCTTGCAAGGAATATAATGGTGGTAAAGACTGGAACAAGTACGCATGCACTCCTTTGAGATACATAATATAACCTTAGCTAAAAACATGTCGCAGAACATTGCAGAGTTCGAGACAAGTCTAGAAAATTCAGATAATCTTAGCAGTTAATCGTTTGCAAGTTTTCCTTATGGCATATAATGTTAAAAGAAAACGACTACTCCTCAAAGTTACCCAAATTTGCAAACATGCTTTAAGTCAAGGGTTTGGAATCTGGTCACCTTAATTCATGTATAATTTGAAAATGGCCAGATACTCAAGAGCTCGTATAACTTGCCAGCTGTTGTGGCATTTGTACTTCCCCTAATTTCTGTGCTGATTTGGATCCTTTAGCCGTCTGGCAGGAATACTGTAGGGGGGAACAGCTGACAACTTCAGCACAAGCAAGATCTTCAGGTGAGTTTATCTTGTTTGAACTCCCTTTATTACATGCAAGGCAAGTTCCTGCTCAGATTTGCTTTGATCCCTGGGAAAGTTCATGTCGGGCATAGAACCATCCTGGGCATCTTTGCTTTGTAGTAGCTGCTAGGAGATTGTAGATTATGGCTGCTTCAGCCCAGTCCAAGAACTAAGCCATCTCATTTGCATCATGGTTGTCTGGGTCATTGAATTGACTGATTTGTGTAAAGCATGGAGCCTGTTGCAGTTTGTCATCCCTTCTTTGTGCTTGCACACTTAGTTACATTATTTAAACGGCCAGTATTGGATAAAGTGCATCAACTGCTTTTTTGCTTCAAAGCAGTCAGCAGCATCTATTCCAGTAGTGATCACATAAATTAGCTGGATTTATGGGTAGACACTGAAAGCACTCATAGACATCAAGTATAGTAAGTCTCAGTTCAAAAATCTCAAAGATTTTAAAAATTGCTGTGTATCTTTTTAAAAATCAAAGGCAGTGGGAGATGGGTTGGAGGCAGTGAGAATCTAAATGTGCAAGAAAACAGTTTAATTTACATACAAATAAGAATTTCCTTTGGTATATCCAGATGTTTGTTGAAGAATTGTCTTTCTGCTCACAAGCAGGATGTGCACCAAAATGGGAATAACTGAGGCTAACTAACTGAATCATAACGAGGAAGTTCTGAGTAGTTCTTAGAATTGAAGGCTGTCCCTTCTGCATTTACCATAGCTTCCGGATGTTCTGATTCAACTTGCTAAAAGTGGTTTTTATCTTGGGGTGGGGGGGAATTATTTCTCTAGAGAAGTCATGCCACCTGTTTGTTTTAAAAATACATTTTGTAGAAAGTCCCAGCTTACTAGTTCTGGTGTCTTTGAAGATGCTGAGTATCAATTAAGTACTCTGACGCAGAGCACTTCATGTAACCTGTCTCTTGAAAGCTCTGCTGCAGAAAATGTGTAATGTATTTCTTATTTTTTCACAGGCATGAGAAAAGGGCAGTGCTGCTCAACTCTGATTGTTTACCCTGATTCACTTGGCAGGATTTTTTTTGTGTCTTTTCATGGAGACTGATGACCAAGTTGGAAGGAGGCAACTAGCCGATGGCTTCTGACTCCATGGTCCCAGAGCAAGCGGAGCATCGTGGGGTGAAAGGGAAGAGGCAGCACCTGCAAGAAAAGGCCCCTTTGAATAGCGATGGCGAAGAAGAAGCATTTGTATTTGAAGCAAATGAAGCTTGGAAGGATTTTCACAGCTCTCTCCTTCGCTTCTATGAAGCTGGAGAACTTTTTGATGTCACACTGAAGGTGCTGATACATGTTCCATGTTTCTTGTGTGTGTGAGTGCATTTATCTTCAGAGTTTTCCACACATGTTTACTGTTTTAGGTCACTGTAACACTTGCTTTCCTGTACTGCATCCAGAAATTCATGCTGTGTGCTCTTGCCTCTGTATAATAATACATTGCTAGAAATCCTACAAAACTGGTGGTTATAGGGAACCTGTCATTCTTATGCCTCCTGTTTCCCTTTCCCCCACTTTTCCATACCTTGTTCCTATAGTGTGCTTTCTTTTCCATCTTGTTACTTATTATGAAAATTAACTGGCAGCTTCAAGTCTGTCCTTGGAAGTCTGAATAATAACAATTATGTGGGTCAGTACTTCAGTGTTTAGCTGAGCAGATCTCTAAACAAAAGAGTTGAGGTTGTGCAGTAAGATTATGGACCTGAAAGTAGTGTCTTTTATCTCTAAATGCAGTTTAAAGATGCATAGTTACATAGACCAAAATCCCTCAATAAGACCATAAACTGATATAAAATAATAGCTGTCTTGAAAGTACTCATTAGGTAAAATAGCATGAATTTCCCTAACTCTTTGAGTGAATATTAACGCCAGTGTCTTTTTCACTGGAGCTGCATGATCATGAAACAGTCCAGGATGGGGTAAGCAGGATTGCTTGTGGTCACTGGGATCCCTAGAGAGTGAGTGCATGCCTTGTCCGCCCTCCAATAGCATTTCCAAGTGCAGCTTTTAATTTCTTCTATTTAAATAGTGGACTGCCTCCCAAGGAAGTTTGCATACAAGAGGCTTTATATAAGCTCTAAAATTTCCAATTACTTGTACTAATTGAAAACAATTTAGATCTCTACAACTAGTTTTACAGCATATGGTAGGGTTGCCAGATCCCCCCTGGCCTCTAGCAGGGGCTGGGAGGGGGGTAGGGTTGCCAGATCCAGGTTGGAGATTTGAGAATGGAGTCTGAGGAGGACAGAGACCTCAGTGGGGTACAACGCCATAGAGTCCGCCCTCCAAAGCAGCCATTTTCTCCAGGAGAACTGATCTCTGTAGTCTGGAGCTGAGCTGTAATTCCAGGGGATCCCCTAGAGGCCTACACGGTGTAAGACATAATGCAAGATCTTTTTTTAATACAGTTTCTAAACCAAAATCAAATAATATAAATCATCTATTGTACATTGAGTTGCTCCACATGCACATTACTTTGCTAAATTATACACAGTACATTTTCCTTTCCATTAATATGTCGCTGGATCCAAGCCAGTGTTTAGTATTCATTCCTACATGGAAAGTACACAACTACAGTACTGTGGGTAAAAAATTAAGAAGGCCATGCCCCATGCTGTCATTACCCAATCCTTGCTACTGCCAGAAGACATGGAGGGGAGGACTGAGATGGAAGTGGTTGGCCATTGTGTGAAACAGGATGCTGGACTAGATACACTACTGGTCTGATCCAGCAGGGCTCTTCTTCTGTTCTTAACTAGCACTGTTATCACATTTGTGTGGTTCTTGCAGGTTTCGCCTTGCCCTATGAAGAGAGCCAGGATAGGATGCCTGTATTAGTCCCTGGTGTGTTTGTAGACATTCCATGAGAGAACACAGGATCTCAGCTGGTGCCGATGGGAGGTTTTCTTTCCATTCTGAAATGCCCCGTTGATACCACAGTTGTGGTGTGGGAACTGCTGTTCCGTGAGTGTATTGTGTGATGCTGCTGCAAGGTTAACACCCTGCTGGTCAGTGCAGATTGCATACGTTGTGACTGCACTGCCATTGCTTGGATCGGTGGCAAATCAGATAGGACTGGCACAGTTGAACTCATCCATGTAATGGTGACCCCCCCCCCCCGGGACAGCAGCACCATTGTCTCTGATGCTGCCATTTCAAGACTAAAAAAAATATTTCATTGCTGCTATCTTAAAGTGCTTAATTGTGCAAAATATTTGTTTTAAGCTATTGCTATTTGCTGCTTTGGGTACCAAACTGGTGCAGTGTTGGGTATAAAGCTTTCTCAAAATAAACGTCAATTAGCATTGGCTTCTATAATTGCAGAGTAGTTTAGTTTTCATCTAGGGAATCTTTGGAGGTGTGAATGTATATAAGATGGAGAAAAAGAGGGAGAGATGGATGAGAGGGTTCCTCTAGTTCTCTTTCTTTATTGCGGGGGGGAGGAAAAAAACTAGGCATTGGGGAGGCTAGTCGTGGGTTTTTTCCCTCCTTCACAAGTGTAAATTATTCATGCTTAAAGCAAGAAGTGGAAGGTCTGATTTTTACAAAATATGCATGCAAGTCAGGGGAGTTGCACTTTCCCTTAGCTCTGCCTTTCTGTGTTCTGCTCTGTCACTTTTCTCCCAGCCTTGTATGTGGGTGAAGTTGGAGTGTTCTGTTGATACTCACGTGGTGATTAATTCATCAGTCTCTCAATTAGAAAAGATGCACTAAAGTTGAGCAGTAAAAAAAATTGCATAACTTTCTGGCAGTAAGAAACCCTTGTAAAAGTTGTGAATCCTGGCTTCATGGGTGGAAGGTCTTATTTGTTACCTTGGGGCACTGGGTCTGAAGGACATAGCCTAATTAGTTAAAGTGAGAACAGATCTCCATGTGAGATAAACTTGCCTGGGAGAGCAATTGGAAAGAATCTATTAATTGCACTTTAACAATTGGTAGCGTCTAAGTGCTCCTATCTGGTGAGTGTGCAAGGCTCATCTGTGTTTTCCTGTGTCCTTGACCTCAAAACACTGCAGTAGCTCCAGGGCACCTTCAGTATCTTCAAGAAAATGCTTTTTGGCAGTATAAAGGTGCTGGCCATTTGCTCTTAGCAATTTCCTAACAACTGTAGGATTTTCTCCAGCCAGGAGATTCCCCTGCCTGCTCATCCTCATTTCAGATATGTTATTTGGTTCCTGCTGTTCTAGTTCATTGGGAAATAAGCCATTTCTATTTCTGTGTTGAAATACCAGGCAATTTTGTCTTAGCTGTTTGTTGTCTAACAGTACTTGAACAAAGTGTGTGTCAACCTTTTATGCAGAATAGACACACGGATCCACCAGTTTTGTAATACTGAGGATGGGGCATAGTGCTGTCTGTGTATTTCATGGCAATGCTTTGTCTAAAGCCATGTACAGCTAATTCCTTCCCATTGCTTCCTTGGCAGTAAACCATTTTGGCTGTGTTTTCTGGCTGGAGCCAACTGGTTGAAAGAATAGCTTATTGAAGTGGATAATGCTGCTTAATGACTAAACTAGAGGAATGTGGAAATGGTGGAAAGCAGGAATGTGTAGGCCTTATATTGAGGACAGAAGCAACTTCATCTAGCAGATAAAGCAAAATGTAGGTCTTGCAGGAACTTCCAATAAAATATAGTCCACATTCAACAAAAGATGCAGATATGCCTGTGGTATAATCAACATGGTATGCATATTTTCCATTCTAAAAAGGAGGGGAAGTGATGGGTTGGATCCAGCCAACTTTCTTTCAGTCTTCCCAAATTCCCCTTCTTACTGCAGCCCCCACCCAATTGCATTTTGGCCATGTGGGTCCCATGATCACAGCACAACCATGCTAAAGGAGACCCCTGCTTCCTATTTTACTATTGAACAAGCTGATTGGATCCAACCTGGTATATTCAGAAATTCATATTTGGAGTGGAATATGGATCAGTCAGATAAGAGCACAAGTTTTTTGGGGGGGAAACTACCTTTGCTACATGTATCAGAAGTTAAATGTACAGTGTAGGCATAGCTCTGGTTCTCTACAAATTGCAAATTGGGAACTAGCCTTGGAAATTGGGGGGAAACTACCTTTGCTACATGTGTCAGAAGTTAAATGTACAGCAATAATTGCAAATTGGGAACTAGCCTTGGAAACAGATTCCCCCCACATCATTATTTTCTGATACATGTGTATCACTGCAGATTAAGAACATAAGAGAAGCCAATGTTGGATCAGGCCAATGGCCCATCCAGTCCAACACTCTGTCACACAGTGGCCAAAAATACCAGGTGCCATCAGGAGGTCCACCAGTGGGGCGAGGACACTAGAAGCCCTCCCACTGTTGCCCCCCCCCAGCACCAAGAATAAATTGCATCACTTGCCCCAGACTGAAAGTTCTTATCTAAATTCTGATGCTCTTGCAAAAACCATAGCCATGGTTTGTAAAGCCGCCTTCAAACCTGGTTAGGATTCTTCTTCAAAGAAACCTGGTTAGGATTAACCATGGTATTGTGACAGTCTAGTTAATGCTGACAAAGGAATATCCTGGAGGAAGGAGCACATGCCTTGAAGGTCTTACATGCTTCCTTTTCTTTGTATTTGGTTTTAATGATAGCAAATACTGCACCTTACCTTTGATAGTGCTAGCCTGATTCTATTACTGCATTAGAATTTGCATTATAGATCTGTTTGTGTAACTCTAAAGCTATTAAAACTGTATGTTCTCCCGACAGGTTGGGTCAAAGTTGATATCATGTCACAAGCTAGTGCTGGCTTGTGTTATTCCTTACTTCCGAGCCATGTTTCTTTCTGAAATGGCGGAAGCCAAGCAGACGTTAATTGAGATCAAAGACTTTGATGGTGATGCCATAGAAGATTTGGTCAAGTTTGTCTATTCATCTCGACTGACTCTGACAGTCGACAATGTCCAGCCCCTCTTATATGCTGCTTGCATTCTCCAGGTGGAGGTAGTGGCCAAAGCTTGCTGTGAGTACATGAAACTGCACTTCCACCCTTCAAACTGCCTGGCAGTGCGAGCTTTTGCAGAGAGCCACAACCGCATTGACTTGATGGACATGGCTGATCGCTATGCCTGTGAACATTTTGCTGAGGTTGTGGACTGTGAAGACTTTGTGAGTGTGTCACCTCAGCACCTGCATAAACTGTTGTCCTCCAGCGATCTCAGCATTGAGAGCGAAAAGCAAGTCTATACTGCTGCTATTAAGTGGCTTCATGCCAACCCACAGCATCATGCCACGTGGTTAGATGAAATACTCGCTCAGGTGAGGATCGGGGGAGGATGTGGTAACGGTGCCTGTTGAAGGATATTGTGTCACAACATTATCTTTGGGATGGAAGTGTCAATGCTGCATTGTCTTTTAGCAGGCTTGGGTTACCTTTGCTAAGTAGGTGATAGTTACAACTTTCTACTGTTAGTTTGTGTGGCAAATTGATGTTGGGAGCACTTTCACCATTGTCTCCTGAAACCTCAGAAGATCCATTTGTTTCTCAAATGCGGGTTCTCTTGCTGCTCCCTACAAAACAGGCGAATTCTATGAAACATCTGTCTTGTTACATTTTCTGAGGGCTATCACGCATGTTGTTTGTTACTTGCAAGTCACCTACTGATGACCAAGCTTGTGTAACCGAGATCTGAAGGTTCTCTTAGCTTTTTTGTTCATCTGTAGCACCTAAGAGGAAGTCACTGTACTTTCAACTCCTGTTGGGGTACGTCTCTGTGTAGTTCATGGTTGTGTGGATAAGAACATACTGTGCCCTGCCCCCCGTACCTCACCCAGGGGAACTGCGATCCCCCGCGATCCCCCCCCGAAATGACCTCTGGGAACATATAACAAAAAAATGGAAATCTTGGGAGGAGCCCTTTGGAGCTGACTTTCTTGTCACCATACCCCATGAGTGTTTCCTTAATTTCTTTTGGAGGTCTCCCTTCCAGTTGCTGAGACCCTTCCTCTTAAACTGAACTGGCATTACCAGGTCTTATGCAAAGTGTCTGTCCCATCAGGTGCGTCTCCCTCTGTTGCCCATCTGTTTTCTGATGGGTGTCGTGGCAAAAGAGGAGATTGTCAAGCAGAACCTAAAATGTCGGGACTTGCTGGATGAAGCAAGAAACTACCACCTGCACTTGAGCAGCCATACGGTTCCGGACTTTGAATATTCCATCCGAACCACACCAAGGAAACACACAGCAGGTAATAAACAGGCCCCCTCTGCTAATACTGTGGAAACTGGCATAATCTGTATTACAGATTTATGTGGCTGATGATTGTTTTTGTAATTACTTTTTTATTTATCTCGTGTTGGTGGTTTTTAGGATGGATTGCAAGGCAGTAAGTATGCTTCAGGAAGGCTGTAGAAGGCTGGTGTCCATACCGTATGTTCTATTAGGGGGTTCAGAACACAGGACATTGGGTAGTAGGTTTATTTAAAAACTAATTGGGGCTGTGTGCATCTCGTTTAGGGTACTTTGTAAGCTGCTTTTGGCCTCTCTGTTGGCTGCAGGATATCAAAGTTTCAGTAAATAAAGGAGGACGGTTTTGCAATCAGTCTTAGCTATAATGTAAAACCACTTCCCCCAAAATAGTTATCTTTGGTACGAAAATCCGATAATGAAAAGCGGGGACCCACAAAGGTCAGGGGTGGTGGTAGATCCCATTACCCCTTTGCTTGCCAGGCCAGCCACTTGCAGGGCAAGTCTGCTTGCTGGCAGCATTGCTGTTTCCTCATCCTCTTCTCCCCCCTTGGTTGGCGGCAGCCCAGCCACTTGCCTGCCAGCCAGCTTGCCTGGCATAAGTGTCCCCACGGCTTTCCCGGCTCAGCAGCTCCACCTTCCTCAAGGGGTGGGGCTCCTCCTCTTACCCACCCAGCTCACGTGGTGAGTGGGTGGAGGGAGCTCTTTATCCTGCCCCCATCCTAGCCGCTCTGCCCACCCGCATCCCTGCCACTCATCCCTGTGCCCTCCACTCCTACACTCACTCCTTTAGCACCACTGTCTCTGCCACGAGGTAGCGTCTCCAGTGGAAGTGCATTGGCTGCAAGTGTGCAGACAACATTTCTGTATTTTGGGAGATTTCAACAACACCCCCCCCCCAAAAAAAAATCTTTCCTTGCATTTCACATTTTTTGCAAACTTTTGGGGAAGCAAATTTGCAGGAAAATGTCCCTAGTCTGTACATGGCCTGATCTACAGATGGGGCCATGTTGACTATCAGATGTATTGATATTCAAGGCAAAGTATAAAAACTTTTCTAAAGGCACATAGTATGGAACACAAATTGTCAGCCCCTAAGGATTTTAAGAAATTAGGACACCCTCTTCCTTGTTTTAGTGGTATTCACAGTGACTTTCTTATGCTTAGCGATCCCATATATTATAATGAGCCCACGGTTCCTATCTAGTAATTCTTGATCACATGAGTGCCACAGATCAAGCCAGTTAGAAAAGATTGCATTTTCCTACTTACTGTTTTTGAAAACTGCCTCAGTTGACGCTAGTATCAATATTTACCATAGTGAGAGAAACCAGATATTTCCCTTTGTTAATCCTCTGGTGGCATGTTAGTCTGTTTCGTGTGTTTCTTGGAGTGGAGAGAGATGTTGGAGTTATGCATGGGACTGAAATCCTGCTTCTGAGTGGACACCTTTGGCAAGTTAGACCATGCAATAAATCTTGTATAACCTTGAAAGCCGGATAGCTGTCTTTGCATTGTGGGGTTGATGCACTGCCACAAATGACTAACATGGTTAAATGTTAGTAGGCAGGACGTTAATAACATTTGTATACATATGTGCAGGATCTTCCAGCTGTGATTTCTTCTGAAGCTGTACAGTAACATAAACCTCGAACAATCTTGAGTGTTGATGTTGAGATGCGGTAGAATTGTCAACCTGTACTGTTGGAATGTCAAACTACTGCCTGTGCATATCTGGTATAAGTAACATTAGGTCAGCAGAACATTTTCTACTGCTTAATTTTGTTTTGGCAGACCTATTAGTTGATGCTATGCGCAGTGTTCAGTACTTTATCATCCATCAAGTTATACATAAAGTGAAACAGCCTTGAACCTTACCTTAATCATGAAATCTTTTGCAACCAATATGTGCCTCTGTCTTTTGTCTGTCAGGTGTTCTTTTCTGTGTTGGTGGTCGTGGTGGATCTGGTGACCCATTTCGCAGCATTGAGTGTTACTCGATAAATACAAACAGCTGGTTTTTTGGCCCTGAAATGAACAGTAGAAGAAGGCATGTGGGTGTCATATCTGTGGGAGGTTGGTAAAAAAACCCTCTAAGATCACTGTATGCTTTGTTATTGTTTAATGACTCAGTTATTCCACCAACCAAAATTATAGCCTTCATATACAAATAGTACTGGGGTGGGATAAAAAGATACAACTGTTCTTCAGTGAGGTAGTGGGCTTTGATTTGATCAGACCAATGATGGATATGTTTTTTAGTGCTAAGAATAACTTACCTAACAATTTAATCTTGGATATGTGTATCAGAAATAAATTCTACAGTGGCATTTGTGTCCTATGTTAGGCCTGCAACCTAATAGAGATTGTAGGTAGCCTTACTGGACCACAGAAAATCCAGAAGCCATGTGTTGCCTTTTATTTGGGCCAACCCAAGATATATGAATTCTCAACATGACCCCATCTGTGGATACCTAAATCTAGAGATTGGACTGTGAACAAACAAGACAGATCTTTCTAAAAACCTGGGGGACAATCCAGGGTTTGCAGAAAAAAATCTTAAAAAACAAACAAAAAAACCCACTATGGTGGGGTTAACCCTGCCCCCCCCCCAAGTAGTAGAAGCAGGACCTGTAGCTTTAAGAAATAAATGTCCTCCAAGGCTGTTGCTAGACAAACACATCTTGCCAAGCAGTGTTCCCTCTAAGCTGAGTTAGTGTGAGCTAGCTCAGAGTTTTCCAGCCTCCGGCTCACACATTTTCGTCTCAGCTCAGGAAGGAGGGCTCCAGAGCAAACTAATTTTGGAAGGAGGGCTCCAGAGCAAACGCCTGCTTTGTAACATCACCCGAACAGCCACTATGGCTGTTCGAGTACCACCGCGGTCGAGGTGAGCTCTCGACCCTCGTCCCAGCTCCCGCCTACCCAGCGGTTCGAAAGCAACCTAATTGCGAGTAGATAAATGGGTACCCACCCTTAGACGGGTGGGGGGCACCCTGTGTGGCGGCTGAAGACGGCGTGCGACGGCGGCAATGGCGGCGGCAATGATGGCGGCGGCGACCTGGAGCGAATGGCATTGGTGGCGTGGCGTTGCGGCGGCGTGCAGGCGTGATTAAGGGGCAGCGACCGAGCGATCCCTGGTGGTGGAAGGAGTACATCGAATGCTGCCGTGTGGAGAGAGGGGCGTGCGCAGATGCCGAGCTCCGGCTCAGCGGAGCCGGAAAGGACGTAGGCCGGGCCGGAAGCAGGGCGGAGCTGCGCACCTTGGAAGAAGCTCCCCACCACCACGCCGGAAGAATAACAGTAAAAGGCAGGAGCTTTTCTAGGGCTTTTTTTGGCCTTTGAGGTGAGGACTCATTGGGGCCAGGGCCAGTAGCAATTACTGGGTGATGCGCTGCCACATGACTCTCATGACTCACTCAGGACTAGCTGCACAGCAGCCACCACACAAAAAAAACGGTATGGTAGCCCTGACCTGGGTAGCCCAGGCAAGCCTGATCTTGTCAGATCTTGGAAGCTAAGCAGAGCCCACCCTGGCAAGTACTTGGATGGGAGACCTCCTTGGAATACCGGAGGCGGGGGTAGGCTTTATTCCGCCACCTCTCTGAATATTCTCCAGGCCCCCAGTAGGGGTCAGCCACCAGAGGTTGCCATGACTTCCAGGTGCACGCACACCCATACGTGCACATATTTTAAAAATAACACTAATGTAGCGGTTAGTGTTTCAGAGTAGGATCTGGGAGACTTGGGTTTGAATCCCCATTCCACCATTGAAGCTCACTGGGTGACCTTGGGGCAGTTATTCATTCTCAGCCTGACCCCCTACTTCATAGGAATGGTGTGAGAATAAAAAGGAGAGGAGAATGTTGTAAGGGGTCCCCATTATGGAGATTGGTAGGGTATAAACGAAGTCAGTAATAGATATAGCTGAAGATGGGGGTGGGCAGATGAAGGGTGGGTGAGAAGGAAAAAAGGAAGCATGGAAATGTGAGGATATGGGGGTTACCAGAAAGAGGAAACAGTATAGGGTGGGGAGATACAGGGGAAAAGTGAGGTGTCCCCACAAGTTCTTATGGGTTTCCCACTGTACAGTTGGGCCTGGCCCAGCAGCTTTGTACCATGCAACGGGTGGAACCAAGCAGAGTTCTCAGGGAGAGGCTACCAGAGTTGAAGTTGAAGATGGGGAAGAAGAGGCTATGGGGGCATTCAGGGAAAGAAAAGAAACCGTGTAGGAGAGAGAAATGCGATGCCCCTGCAAGCCTTTGTGGTTTCCCCGTTTGTCACAATATAGTATGGAAGCCCCCTTGTCTGCATCTTGTGCAAGATGAGCTGTTGGTTTGGTGGCCTAAATTACAAGTATCTAACAACCACCTTTTGTAGGTCTTCTTTGGATTTCAAGACTGTACAGTATTTTCTAGTCTGAGTCCTCCCAATCTGGGGATAAGAGCATACCGTACAAGGTGTTGTAAAAATCACAACACAACAATGTACGCAGAACTCCTTGAACTTCTGAAAGCATTATATAAATGTTGTGTTATGATGCGTATATAGTGATCTCAGCCCCACCCCCAGCCTTCGTCCTTGAGTTGTGCCCCCTCCTCTGCTCTGGCTGTGTTTCTCCCCCGCCGTCTTCCTTGCTCTTTTGCCTCCCCCCTCCCATTCACCTTGAGTTTCAAAATAAAACAGTGGCAGCCATCCTGGGATTACCTTGGTAACCATCAGTGACATTGTCTCCTGTTGCTAGGCGATCTTTGATTAGATCTGTGTATTTTATAACTTTGTAAACAACTATATATTTGTATATTGTGATCAACCCTCAAAATCATTCAGAGAGAATGGGAGGAAAGAGGCATTCTGCTTCCCTCCTTTCCAGAGGTGAGGCAAGTAGCATTCCATTTTGGCACCTCACCTTCCCTTGATGCTCACCTGTTACTAGATTTTGTTGTCTTTCTGGTGCTGGGTAAAGATTTTATTCTGTCCGACTTCCAGATCATTGGTTTTCCTCCTTTCCCTCTGCCCATAAGGACATAATGCCGGATCAGACCAAAGGCCCACCTAGCCCACAGTTCTGTCCGCGTAGTGGCCAGCCAGCTGCCACTAGGAAGCCCACAAAGAGGAACTGGTGGGAGTGGATATCCATCATGGAGTGGATATCCATCATGCCTTGTAGCCCTCAGTAGCCCTGTCCTCCTTGAATTTGTCCACTCCCCTTTTAAAGCCTCCCAGGTGGGCGGCCATGACCATATCCTGTGGCAGTGAGTTCCACAAATTAACTATACTTCTGTGATGAAATCCTTCCTTTTGTCTGTCCTGAATCTCCCACGCTTCAGCTTTAGTGGAGGACCCTGGTTTCCAGTATTATGGGAGAAGGAGAAAAGATTCTTCCTGTCCATTCTCTCAACACCATGCATAATTTTATAGACTTCTGTTGTGTCTCCCCTCACTCACCTTTTTTTTCTAGGCTAAATATGACCCTAAGCGTTTTAACTGATCCATGACAATTTAATTCACATGGAATTCACTGCCACAGGAAGTGGTGGCGGCTACAAGCATGGACGGCTTCAAAAGGGAATTAGATAAGCATATGGAGCAGAGGTCCATCAGTGGCTATTAGCCACAAGGTATAGATAGGGGCTCTGGGGCAAGTGATGCTCTGTCTTCTTGGTGCTTGGGGGGGGTCAACAGTGGGAGGGCTTCTAATGTCCTGGCCCCACTGCTGGACCTCCTGATGGCACTGGTATTTCTGGCCACTGTGTGACACAGGGTGTTGGACTGGATGGGCCTTTGGCCTGATCCAACATTGGCGTCTCTTATGTTCTTATGTTCTAATTGCTCTTTTCTGTACTTTTGCATGTTCTACAATAACTTTTTCAGGTACAGTGAACAGAACTGTATGCAATATTCCAATTGTGGTCTCACCATTGATATGTATAAGGGCAGTATGATAACGTTAGTTTTATTCTCTCTTCCTGTTTTGACTATGGCCATGGCCATCATGGGATCTGCCTTTGTCACAACAGCCGTGCACTGGGCTGACATTGTCATCTAGCTTGTCCACGACCTCCCCAAGGTCCCTTTCTTCGACTGCTGCTGCCAGCTCAGATCCCATCAGCATATATAGGAAGCTGGGATTATTTGCCCCAATATGTGTCACTCTACACTTGCTCACATTTAATCCCATTTGCCATTCTAATGCCCATTTCCACCCCCAATTTGAAGAGATCCTTTTGGAGCTCTTCGCAATCTGTTTTGGTCCTAACCCCACTAAATAATTTGATGCCGTTTGCAAACTTGGCCACCTCAGTACTCACCCCTAACTTGTTTAGGAACAAATTGAAAGGCACTGATCCCAATACAGGTCCTGCTGCTCACATCCCTCCATTGTGAGAACTGATCATTGGTTTTTACTCTCTGCTTGCTGTTTTTTAACCAATTTAACCATTAGAGGACTTGTCCTCTTATACTGCGACTCTGAAGTTTGCTCAGGAGTCTTTGGTGAGGGTCTTTGTTAAAAGCCTTCTGGAAATCCAAATAAAAGTTTTACCCTCTTTTTATTACTGCTGCTGTGTGTTGGCTTTTTGCTAGCTGGTTACATCGTTATGGTTCGCTGCTTAGTATATTTAGAATGTTTTGTTAGTACTATGATTTTAATTTGTTTATTGTTATCTGCCTTTGGGAGCCAGATTTTTGATTGGGAGATGGTATAGAAACAATTACATTGTGTTCTCTCAATTGGAATTGCATTCTTTGGATTGGATGAAGTGGTATTGTTCCTGGTAGAATTGTTCGAGTCTTTCTAAGTCCAAATGCTTCTTTATTTCAGGTAAAGTTTATGCAGTGGGCGGGCATGATGGAAATGAGCATCTGGGAAGTATGGAAATGTTTGATCCTCTCACAAATAAGTGGATGATGAAAGCATCTATGAATACTAAAAGGTAGGCTGAGTACAGGCTGTAGTTACCCTCTTCAAGAGCAAGCGGGTTCATGTGTTTAAGTGCCTAATCTAAAGTTGACATGACACATGAGGAGAGAGGGGAGCAAACTGAAACTGACTGTTGGAGAAGAGAAAAGATCAATCAGGAAAAAAAGCACGAGTTTGCAAGCAGAGGGAGAGCGGACAGTTAACTTAAGTATGACAGTTGTAGCCAGACCAGCTTATGAAAGTACTAAAAACCCTGAAGACAAACAACAGAAGAAGGTGGGCTTTTGAGAGTTTAGAACCTTCATCATGGTTGTGGTACTCAGTGGCTCAGGAGCTACCTGTGGCTCTTCTGAGTACCGTCCCCCCTATGTGGCTGGCTGAATTCCAAGCCTGTAAATGGTCTAGCACCTGAGGCTTGTTTCTTTAACAGTGACATTGGCAGTGGTCCCATCTCCAACGGCCAATCTGATCAGCACTTCTCTCCGATGGCTGCTTTATATCCTGCCCTGTATGGGTGGTAAGCCGTATGATACAGTAACTTTTAAATGCTTGCTATACGTGCATTGATTGATTTGAAATGTGTTGAGTGAGACCGTGCATGCCAGTGTCAGCCCTCTTCTTCTCTTTCCCCTGCCCCCTGACTGCGTACCACTGATCCATGGTCTCAGTGCGATCTGTTTAGGGCCTTAAAAGTTGCTCTGTGAATGCCGCAGATAGGGAAGTGTTTTCAAGGGCAGCTGTGGCTAATAAGTAACATTTAGAGGATCTAATTCTGTTACAGTTAACTTCCTTTGACTGTCAAACTTGGTAAACACAACAGGGTAGTCTTGTTGATGGTTGCACTTTGCTCTTGAGCTGAGTGCAGTGTTGTCTTCCAGGAACTGTTCAAGTGAGATTGTTGCTGAAGACCTACATGCTAACCTTCTGAGTAGCATCTCTTTGAATCCATATGCAGCTGCTGCAGATGAATTATTTAAACCAGGGGTGTCAAACATGCGGCCCGGGGGCCTGACCAGGCCCCCGGAGGACTTCTATCAGGCCCGCAGTGGAACTGGCTGTCTTCTGCTGCTTCTTCCAGTTCTGCTGCTGCTGCATCATCGTAAGTTTGCAGCTTACAAATACACACACTCAAGACAGCATACTCAAGATTGCAACAGCACAGACATTTTGATATAATAATTCAGAGCAAGAGGTGTCAGTTATCAGACACTGCTAAATAAACAAATATTGCAAGAGTGCTAATGTTTTAAGCATATTTTTAAGTTTAAAAACCCCTTTATGTTTGTGTCCTTTATAAAGTTTATATCTCCGCTCCCTGATATTACATTTTGTGACATACATGGCCCGGCCCAAGAAGGTCTCATTGATGTCAGATTCGGCCCTCATAACAAATGAGTTCAACACCCCTGCTTTAAACTGTGCATTGCTTTTTTAAAATGCTTTGTGTATCTCTGTTTCTGAACTCAGTACACCTGGATAACCTTTTTTCCAGTTTCTTGTAAAGTTACGTAGTATAACCGACTGTGATTTTTTTTTAATTGTTTTATTTTGGTTAGGCGAGGGATTGCTCTTGCCTCTCTCGGAGGCCCCGTCTATGCCATTGGAGGCCTAGATGACAACACTTGCTTCAGTGACGTGGAGAGATACGACATTGACTCTGATCGGTGGAGCACAGTGGCCCCAATGAACACTCCTCGGGGGGGAGTGGGCTCTGTGGCTCTTGTAGTAAGTGTCCGCTCACACGTGTGAAAAGTGCAGGGAGTGTCTGTATTTCAGTCATATCCATAATGCTGTGCCTGCTTTCTTTGGTAGCAATATGTGGCAGGCGTGAAATGAGGTTGAGTGGTGGTGAAGAGACAGGCTCATTACCACAAAAGCCTTACAGATGGGGTAGACAGCTACTGCATAATCAGCTGGCTACATAATTCTCTCTGTGTATTGGGAGAGTAAAAGAGACTGGCGGAGTTACTTTTGCTACATTAATATGGTATTTAATATTCACTCGATCTTTCTTCTCGTTTCAGAACTACGTGTATGCTGTTGGCGGGAATGATGGTGTAGCCTCCCTTTCCAGTGTGGAGAAATATGACCCTCACCTGGATAAATGGATAGAAGTAAAAGAAATGGGTCAGCGGAGAGCTGGCAATGGGGTTAGTGAACTCCACGGCTGCTTGTATGTAGTAGGTGAGTAATGCTCCGAATCGTCCTATGTGGTTCACACTGTAGATCTGCAGTAACTTAAATGTTTGGGGAAAGCTGCAGTCAATCACTACACCCAGTCTTAACGTTTGAGTTAGTAACCCCTCAGGAAAAGCTAAAGATATTTTTCTTGCAGTGGAAGTAAGGGTGTGAAATAATGAGTCACAAGGTGCATCACTGGGTGCAAGCATGTCATGTCCTCCTGCTAACTTTTGTGTACCCTCCTTCAGACTGTGTGGACCTCACTGTGTTCTTGACTGTGTTGCCACTGTATGTACCCCATATACCCGTTCTCTGTTGAATAGCTGGATACACAGGGTATTGCCACTGTATGTACCACATATACCCGTACTCTGTTGAATAGCTGGATACACAGGGTAGGTTGCTTTCAGTTTGAGAGGAGACTTTATATGCATGTATCTTGCTGTTGCAGGTGGCTTTGATGACAATTCTCCACTCACTTCTGTTGAACGATTTGACCCTCGCTGTAACAAGTGGGAGTACGTGGCTGAGCTTACAACTCCCAGGGGTGGAGTTGGCATAGCAACATTAATGGGGAAAATCTTTGCTGTTGGCGGTCACAATGGAAACGCTTATCTGAATACGGTGGAAGCCTTTGACCCCGTGGTGAACAGGTGATCAGAATCTAGCTTTCACTAAACTAGGTCTCCATAGCGGGCGAATATAAAATACATGGACAGTAGATTAAAAGGACTTTGAGGCATTACAGAATTGACCTTTGGTAGCTGTCCCTTTAATTAAAAACGGAGCCATTATGAGGTACTTTATGTAGCTATGGTCTGTCCCGCCCCATGCCACCAATATTTCAGACAGGCCTTTTTGTATTTGCTGCTAGAAATTAACCAGGCTCTTGTTCAGGTAAGGAAAATGTGCAGCTGGTATTCTACGCAATTACTTGTTAGCTTGCCTCTGATTCTCCCTAGACTGAGTCCAAAGGTAGTGAGGTGAATACTGATTACTCTGGAACCTTAGTTTAAATAAGAGAACTTTAGGAAAACATTGATAAAATATTAAAACTACTTATTTTTCCATTTGTTTTCAGTTGACTTCTAATGCTGCCCCCTCCTATGTATTCTCAGTGTCCCTTCCAAGGCCTGTTAATTCCGGGTAACACAGTGCAATAAACAAGAACAAACCGTTTAAACAATTTAAAATGCATTCCCCTTCTCCGCCAGAGTCCCTGAGAGTTTCTGCATGAGTTATCTGCCCCAGGTTCAGTGCTGATGGGAAGTGAGGTTTTTCCTTCTTCCCCACAGCATCGTGGTGTATTTGTGCACCTCCCAGGTTTTCCCCAGCTTCATTCTTTCTCCAGTCTCCTTTGCTCCAGTGTTTTGGGAAAGATTGCCCCAAAGGGTGAATAGCTCCCGTCTGGGCGGGAAAGTTCAAATTTTCCTGGTCCTGTCCACACAGCAGCCATTTCTTTTCCGTACTGCAGAAGATTTTTTTAAAAATTAATACGGGTATTGCTGTACCAAAATATGGTTTTCCGAATTGCCAGCTTAAAGATTTTGCTTTGCCTTGCCTTCTTGTGTGGAAAGCAGGTTCGTTACAGCCCCTTGGGGAAGCTTTATGATATATCGGATCTGTATCTAGCGCTGGAGCTTCAGGTGGGAACAAACTAATTTTTTATGTCTTCCTATTTTTCTTTTCTTTTTTTAAGGTGGGAGCTTGTGGGTTCCGTGTCCCACTGCAGAGCTGGAGCAGGCGTAGCTGTGTGTGCTTGCCTTGGCAGCCAAATCCGTGATGTGGGTCAGGGATCCAGCAATGTGGTGGACTGCATGTGAATTTGGGTTTAAGTCTCAGTGTCGCAAGACTTCGGAATCCTTAGGAACTTCCTAAATCAGTATCTGTAAATATTCAAAGGTGCACTTGTTTGAGAATGTGAGTATTTGACAGCTGTTAAAGGCTTGGCAAACATGGAACCAGAAGTCCTCAGTGGTTGTTCAAAACATAATGCCCAGTAGTAGTTCAGAAGTTGGAGGGCCGTCAGTCTTCAGCCTCTCGTTAATTTAACTGGGGGGGCGGGCTAGGTTGTATGTCTTGAGTGGTTGAGCTTTTCCTCAGACCTGTCCCCGAAATCTTTGTACTCGAGCACTTAAATCTCTTCTCTAAAGGATGTTCTGGTTAAAAGTAACGGCAGCATTTATGAATCCGCATGTTCTCCTCTAACGCTATGCAATCCGGAACTAGCTCAGTGGACCATGGCCTCCTGAAAAATGTTAAGTTGGCAGAGCACTTGTAAATTAACAGGCTTTATTTGCCAGGGAGAAGCACCAAATAAGCACCAGTCCTGTTGACACCCATTTCAGCCTGAAAGAACCTAAAGCATAGGATAATATTTGCACAGGTAACACGGCTGGATTTGTGTGGGATGTAACCACCATTGTACACCTTCCATTGCAAACTTGTGATGGAAGCCAGGGGCACCCTTTTCAGTTCCAGAAGGACAACCAGAGCTTTTCCCTTACAGACCATCTCCATTTGGAATGCTTATTTTGTCACTCGCGATCTGTGCGTATTAAGGCCCTCGGTTGGTTCGTGACTGCCGGGCTTCTAAACGTTGCATCTCCATCCCAGAAATGCTCCGTTCTCGGATCTCCTGTGTGGCATTTATATCCTGCGTGCATCCTTAGAACATGAGTAAGCCATGACTAGAAGATGCGCATCACTGTAACTGGAGAGTAATCAGGTAGGCGTCTCAGACAGTCAGTCAGTGATTCACTTAAGTAGCTGGCCTGTTTGGATGTGTGTCTGGCCTTGAAATGACTCTTCTGATCCGTTGCACTCCTCAAACCACTTTGCCAGTGCAGTTCTGCTTTGTGCTTACAGAGTGGCCAGAGAGGTTATTTGTATGAATGAATCTTTGGAGCTGGATCCTACGACACCCTTCCTCCAAGTCTTCCTGTGAATGAGAGATACTTGGGGGGGTGGGGGGGCAGAGGCATGGCTGAAGGGAGGACACATCTGCCAACCCAACAGGTGGCAAAAAAAAAAAATCACACTGGAATCTGTGGCGGTTATATTTAAAACCTGTTTAGCATGTGCAGTGGGGATTCCCCCCCCAAAAAAAAAAAGTTACCACCACCCTCTTCAAGTCAGTGGAGAAGTTAAGAGAACACCTCAGTCAGACAGTGACTTTGTTCAGGTGCAGATCCTGACACCTTGCAGTTCGTGACAGGAGTCCAAGTGCCCTGAGAACAGGCCATGCACAGGGGAACGTGGACCCCTCCACCCGTAGCAGTTCACCTGCACACACCTTGCTTGCTTGCTTAGTGGTGGTGGTGGTGGTGCCGGTGTTCTGGAGTGCCACCATCAAGGACCTGACCTGGTCTAAGACTGTCTGAAAAGCACCTTGCTCTTGTCACACTGGCGAGAAGTCTTGTTAAAATATCCTTGGTTGTCCGTCTGAAAGAAAAAAAGCAATTGGATTTCCTTCAGACTAGAAGAAAAACACCCTTTAAAGCAAAATAACACTGTATGTACTAAAGGTGAGCCTGTGTGTTTTAATGTGGCCGGTCCTTGCCCCTTGCTCTTCTTCCTTGTCGGGAGCCATCTGGATGTCTTTGTGTGTGTGTGTGTGTCAGTTTGCCTCGTGCTTTGCACACGCAGCTGTGTTAGGTGAGAGTATAAATAGCTGTAGCATAAGAATAAGCATCCGGCCCTTGTCCTTGAGGCAAACGGAACCTGAAGTGGCAGCCGTTCACAAGGCAAGACCATGTTTTCTCTCTCACTGAAATACAATGAGGCAGTGTTGCCTGGAAAAGAGGGCCTTGGAAATGGCTTCAAATGCTGTTGCGGAAGAGGACTGTAGCCGGCGAGCTCTGAAGAGGACTATTGCGGGGGAGGCGAACCCAGCCGAACCTTTGTTCCCAAACCATTTTGCAGGGGTGGGTCTGGTGGGCAGCAAGGTCCTGGTATAAGAGTGTGTTTCTTAGAGAAACAGGTATGTAACGGTTCTCTGCATTCAGCACCATTGTGTGTGTGTGTAGTCTGATCACGAAGCACACCTCACTGCTTTTCAGTATTGCACTGCCATTTTGCAAACCTGTTTTTATATTAGTCTGTGGTATCCAGTGGACAAAATGCAGAATGAAGTGGTGATCTGTGTTGTACGAGAACTGTAGAACTTTGTATTAAAATGCATTTATTTATTGGCCTTGTGCATTTATTTCTCTTGGGCTGAAACCGTGTAGGAAAACCAAAGTGATGCATGTCTAACACGCTCTGTCAAGGGCTTGGGTACACCTGAGAACTTGTTCCAGGACTGGCATCAGCATCCCCAGAGGTGGGGTGTCCGCTGGGGCTCCTGGTAGGGCCTGTTGCTGCTAGCCTCTGCCCTCACACCTCCTCTGCCATCTGCCTGCGCCCTCTTTCCTCACTCGTTTGCTTGCAAGTGCTCCGCCTCCTGTGTTCCTGGCTAGCTGGGCTGCCAAACACTGCCAGGGAAAAGAGTGAGGATGGAAGATTTGTATTCACTTACCGTGAAGCTTCCTTCTCGGTGGTCCAGAGTGGGGCAGTCCTTGACTCCTTACTCCTGGGAAAGCACCTCCCCCTTCCGTAGGCAGGGCCGACAAACTTTGATCCCAGAGGAACCACTGCAAAACCTAAAGGACCGGACGTCGTGTCCATCAAGAGAGGGTGGGTAGGACTGCCCCACTCTGGACCACCGAGAAGGAAGCTTCACGGTAAGTGAATACAAATCTTCCATTCTCTGGTGGTCCAGGAGTTGGGCAATCCTTGACTCCTTACTCCTGGGACATAAAAAAGTAGTGCTCCCCCCGGGTGGGTCACACAACTTCCGGTGCCTACAGAGCCTGAAGGAGCACTCTAATGTCAAATGCTGCTTCTGCCGAGACTAGTTTGTCAATACTATAGTACTTTGTAAAGGAATGGACAAATTTCCATGTCACTTCTAGGGACGGCACGTCCTGCTCAGAAGGCAGGGCCGGTAAGACTGGGGATCAGAGGATAAGCCCCTCCCCACTGGGATCAAAGTTTGCCGGCCCTGCCTACAGAAGCGGGAGGTGCTTTCCCAGGAGTAAGGAGTCAAGGACTGCCCCACTCCTGGACCACCGGAGAATAGCGCCAGTCACAGCAGCAGCACTGCCATCTGCACACTCACCTCCCGGTCCTATTGAGGAACGGGCATGCCGGCGGCTACGGGCGAGGGGACATGGGCAGGCATGGGAAGGAGGCACAGGCAGGTGGGGATATGTGGGTGGGGGCAGGAAGGGAGGTGTCAGTAGGGGTTCTGGTGGTGGTGGGCACAGGAGGGGAGGACTCTTTGCCCAGGGCCCATCAAATCCTGGGGCTAGCCCTGACTCATTCACATCACCATCAGGTCGTGGTAGTCAGAATAGTCTGCAAGGTTTAACTAATCCAGCTTGTGTAGGAGGTGTGTACGTCCATTACTATTTAGCACGCATTAACAACATTCTGGAGCTGCGGTGGCTCAGGTGGTTAAGACGCTGAACTGCAGGCTGTGGAAGGTCGGTAGTTCAGCAGTTCGAGACCCGGGTGCTGCATGATGGAGTGAGCTCCCATCTCTAGTTCCAGCTCCTGCCAACCTAGCAGTTCAAAAGCAAGAAATTGCAAGTAGATAAATAGGAACCACTTCGGTGGGAAGGTAACAGTGTTCCGTGCGCCTTGGTGTTTAGTCATGTCGGCCACATGACCACGGAAACGTCTTTGGACAGCGCTGGCTCTTTGGCTTTGAAACGGAGATGAGCACCGCAACCCTAGAGTCAGACTCGACTGGCTTTCGAGCAGGGGAACCTTTACCTTAACAATATTCTATGCTTGAAATAGTGTGCTTAATACAGCTATTAGTGTGGTGCTGAACATGAATGGCACATACACTGTTATGTTCTGGGAGTGAATGTAAAACTGGCTACTTGGGGATTAATGTTGGGAAATCAGCTATTCCTTCATGTTCTCTAGGAACTGAAATGTGTCAGAGTTGTGCGAAAAGGGATGCATATTCCAAGGAGCACATTGCAGCAGGCAGTTATGGCAATGATCTTAAGAAAAAGGAAACCCAAGAGAGGGGGAGCAGTCTTGACTGTCTTTTCATGCCAAGTGTTGCATTTTTAAAACCTTTTTTCTCCCCTATACACGTGGGGGGTGGAGGGAGATCAAGGTACAGGGTCTGCTACTCAGGAAGCTAATTTATGGATACCTATATTCTTGCTTTTCCCCCGTATTGCTTTTTCAGCTCCTGGCAGGGCTGTAAGAGGAAAAATAACTTTCACTTTGAGGTGGGCGTTGCAAAAAAAAAATGCTGGCACAGGAGCTGAGCGTTGGTTCTGCAGTGGGACTCTTGATCATTTTTCATAAGAATGTAGAGTGCTGAACTGTTGACTTCTTTCCACAGCCTCCTACAGTTGCTGCCTGTGAGGGAAGAGCTGCAGTGCCAGAAGTCCCTGCTCTCCCACATGGGTGGCTTTGTGAAATTCAGTAAGGAAGGCGCGCTCCTGATCTCTGAGGGACTTAACCAACAGGCTGCCACCTGGTGGTGCGGATGGTGAATTTTAGCTGGTCTACTAGATCTAACATTGCATTTTCTGTTTTTTAAAAAACTGAGCACCCTTTTTTATGCTGAAAAGTACTTTACTTGTAAAACCGTGCCTCTCCCACAAGTGTGAGGATTGCAGCATGTGGACTTCTGTGGTACAGTTACCTGCAGATACAGTTTCAAAAAAATGGCCCCTTGCTGCAGTTCGTATTTTGATAGCTGACCTGTGGCATATTGCATCCTTGGGGCTCCCAAGTTAAAAATATCCAGTGCGGTACAAATAGTAAGGGTTTTTGTCTTCGCTGAGATGCTGCAAAGCGTGCTTTATTCTTTTGCATTCTCAGACTGTTGGGAACACAAGTCTAGCTTGCCGTGCAAGTATTTAACCCTCCTTACCAACACAGAATGGGGGATGGGGGAGATTGCATGACAAAGCAAGCTCAGAAGCATACACTGCGAATAGCCCTCCATCGATGAGGCCCTTCCTCTGGGCGAGATTTAACACACACACACATACACACTTCCTAAAGAGTATTGGATTTTTCTGCAATCCTCAGGGTTCTCCCAAGTTTGGTTTAAAAAATCTGGATGGTCCCAATTGGTGGATTTAAATATCTGCAGATAGGGGCCATGTTGAGAATCAGGTATGTTGCTAGCAAGCAGGGGCCAACAAGAACTTGCGAGGGGGGGGATCTCATTTCCACTTTCCATTCCCTGAAAGCTCCCACTTCCTTCTCTCCTTCCCAGCCACCCACCTTTATCTCTCCACCCCCGCCTTTAGCTTTCCTTCTTTCTCTCCCCTAGTGGCCTCTGCTCAGGAAAACTATGGCTGGGTTGGGCACTGTTGGCTGCCAGGCCCAAGGGGGCTCACTTGCATGGTGGGGAACCTGTGAGGGCTGGTGGGGAGGGAGGGGAGGCACCTCACTTTCTCCTGTATCCCTCCCCCACGTTATTTCCTCTTTGCCTTCTCCCGGGAGGCCCCATACCCTTCCCCTGCTTCCTTGGGTCCTTCCCATACCTCAACCAGTTTTGTCTTGCCCCACCATCTTCAGCTGTTTTTATTTCCCACCTTTCTCCAAAAAGGGAACCCAAAGCAGTGCACCTTGTTCTCACCTGCATTTTAATCCTCACAACAACCCTATGAGGTAGGTTAAATGGAGAATGTATGATTGGCCCGTGTTCACCCAGTCAGTTCCCACAGTGGAGTGGAGATCTGGATGTGGGTCCTCCAGGTCCTAGTGTGAAACCAACCACTGCACAATACTGGTTTTTATGGGAAGAGTTGCTCCTGAATAGTAAGGCATGCAAGTCTGGTGTTGTCCAGTAGCTGAGTGTCTGGCCTGGCCATGATGAGCCCTCCTTCAAAGGAAAGGGCCCCGCCCCCTCCTCCTGCTTTTACTGGCAGAATCCAGGGGTGGAAGACTGGCAGTGCTCTGTGGTTGCCTAGAAACAGCCACCAAGGGTATTTGGAGAGCCAGTTTGGTGTAGTGGTTAAGTGTGCGGACTCTAATCTGGGAGATCCGGGTTTGATTCCCCACTCCTCCACTTGCACCTGCTGATGTGACCTTGGGTCAGTCACAGGCTCTGGCACAGCTGTCCTTGAAAAAGAGCAGTTTGTGTCAGAGTTCTCTCAGCCCCACCCACCTCACAGGGTGTCTGTTGTGGGGAGGGGGAGGGAAAGGAGTTTGTCAGCCGCTCTGAGACTCCAAGTGAAGGGCGGGGTATAAATCCAATCTCTTCTTCATGTGTGTTATCTGAAAGCTACAGGTGCTGCAGCTACCATTTTGACAAGTTTTAAATTCCCCCAATAATTTTTTTTTAAGATTTCCGATTTTTCTTCAAACGAGTCTTTTTGCAGGTTTGTAGGAAGATCTGTCATTTCTGGCCATGACCCCAGTCTCTGGATTTAAAGTTTCCACAGATTTTTGCCATGTTGAGAATGAGATATAGTGATGTTACATTCCACCCTGTGCTTGCTGCACTTCATGCTCTCTTGGCCCTCCTGTTTGTTTTTCGAGCATCCTACAGAAAATGACTGCATAATGAGGACCCGCTCACACTGCCTGAATAAGTGGGTTCTTCTAATCCATAACACACTTTATCCAGGAATTAAAATCTGGTTAGTTTTGAAGGCACTGCAAGACTCCTGTTTTCCAGTAGAGGGAGCAGAAGAGCTGTGCCTGGCAATCTTCCCCATAAAACAGTCAAAAGGACACGGAAGCTGGCTCTGGTGAATCATCAGGGACTTGTAGCATGGGAGGCTGGTCTTGAATTCCCCACTCGGGCAGGCTTGAGACCTAGCCCAAGGCTACCCATTATCTGAGCTTTAATTAAAGAGTCCTTTGGCACCCTGGAGACTAATGAAGGTATTGAGCCATGAGCTTTCAGAGGCAGATGCATTGGAGAGCAGCTTGGAAGGTCTCAAAGGTGCTACAGGACTCTGCTGTTATTGCTGCAACGAAACACAGCTAGTCTTCTGGAATTTAAAACAGATGAAATCGGGGCTGGGGAAAAATCCTCTGTGCCTAGAAACCTGGAATATTCACCTGGTAGTGGGGCTGCCATTAAGAATTTAAAATAACACCACCACCACCACCACCTTGTTGAAGATAATAGCGCCCTACAATCAGTGCTGGAAACAGTAAAGTACTCTGTTGCAGGCTAGGGCAGTGGTAACCAGCTACTTAGTCAAGTCAAAACTGTCGCTGCCTGGGCCATGGAACTAGTCATACCACCTTTCTTAATCTGGTCCTTTCTTAATATTTGGTCCTTTATCCTGCCTCTTCTGCTTTGTTCTGGCTGCTTCAGAAACATCTGCATAGCATATGTATAATGCAGTTTCTTTGGCATGCAGAAAAGATCCTAGAGTTGGTAGTCTCACTCCTCCCAGGGTTTATGCTCAAGGTTTTTGGATATCAACACAGTTGTGTGTGTGTGTTTTAAGTTATACATACGTAGCTGCAGTGTTGCTTTCCCAGAAGACAGAAACAGGGTGGTGGTGTTTCAATGAAGTGAGATCTTTCCTCGCCAATATAGACTACAAACAGTGTTTAATCTTCAGCCTCTGTCCAGCAACTGGTAGAAATGAGACAATCCGGGAGAATCATCTAATGCACAACGTGATTACTTGTAAACTTGTAGATGGCTGCAGAAGGGTGTGACAAACTGCCCTCCAAAACCTAGTGCATCAAATTCAGATAGCTGGGAGATTAGGGGTTAATGCCTCACTGTAAAGCACAGTTTGACAGGCTGCTGTTCCGTGATGAAGTACTTTTATGTGGCCTGCTGCTGTGCCACGTAGGCTGGGAAACAGAATGATCAAGGTCCCGATGAGCCACCGTTCAAAGCTGGCAAACTATGCTTGGCAGGTGTCAAGGTATGTAGACCTGCTCCAAACGTTTCAGGAAGGCCTTTTTCTTGGTCACCTGTATTGGTGGACAGTTGTCGTATTTGAGAAGCAAGCTTCAAAATGGCAAGGAACCCTTAATCGAGAAGCTGGATTTGCTCGTGCCAAAAGCCTGCCACCCAGTCACCACCACCCGAGATCCCCTAACACCACAGTAGGTATGAGGAGTCTCTCTTGAGATCAAAACAGAAGCTCCACTTAAAATATTTCTGGACCAACGTTCAAGGAAGAGGCCATTTCAATTAATATTTATTTTATTACCCCACATGAATTAAACAAATCAGCCTTGGAAATACCACCAATACACGGGGCAGAAAAAAAAAGTTATTTACAAGATGGAGACACAACACCCCATAATAAATTTAAATGTACAGAGTTGATAAAGTAACCATGGACAGGAGGGGAAGGGGCGGGAGGAAAGACACTGCTCTTTAGAAATAATAAATCATCTAACTTTCAGTCCGCGTCTCCAGTGTCAATGGAACTTGCAAATTATTAAATAATGGCATCTTAGACATATAGAACATTTGACAATTTAAATACATTAATTATAATTCTAAATACATATCATTTGGGAAGGAAGGCTGCTTCAAGCCTGCAGTTCCATTGACCTGTGTTTAAAATGGCAAAAATTCTTTCATTTCATGCTCCTTACATGGAGGGCTTGGCCCCGACGCCTGGTTGAAATCAATGGAAGTTCCACCAGCATCTAGAATGGGGATAAAATGGCATTTCTTGTGATCACTTCGCTTTCTTTAAAAAAATAATAATAATCCAGAGTTTCTCTCGATCAGACTGGCTGCTGCCTTGAAATTGCATACAAAATATTTATTTTAAAAAAAAGAAGCACAGGATATAAAGTGGAAAAGCAGGCATCTCTGACTGAGAGGATTCATTTTAACTTCCGTGAAAATTAAGGAGGCTGCGTGGCTTCCCTTTGCCCCCTCCTGGACTAAACCAAATTGGAATATGTGTGTATATATATATATATATATTTTAAAGGAGGCAAACAACCATGTGCTCTGCTTTTTCCGTCAGAACATTCTCCTCACACCCCACAGTCCTGAAAAAACAGCAGCATCAGAATGCTCAACGGGATTTCCTCTCAGCTTCAGAGGTTGCTATCAGAATGGAACTCTTGATTAAGGGGGGAGGGGCCTGTGGCCGGGTGGGCAAGAGGAGCCGTAACTGATTGGTGCCATCCCTAGAATAAAGTGCTTCGTAAGCAGGTTAAGGCGGGTCCCTTGACACCTGGGGGGGGTTCTGCATCCGAGGGGAGGCTACTCGAGAGAGCAGCAGCACCTGGCTAATGCTGGTGGCCCCCCTCGGGGAGAAGAAAGCCAGAGGGTCGGTCCTGAGGTACATTGGGTGGGATGGGAGGGGAACATGGTTTTCAAAGGAGGGACCAAGTGAGGTTTTTTTTAGTGTTAGCAAGCCAGGAGCTATAAGACTCGAGAGGGGTTCTAAGGCAGGTTATCATCCTAGGATTTCCCGGGAGAAACCATCTTGCTCTTCCCAACTTGTGCTGTTGCACTGTGACCTTCACAAGAGAAGGCAAATGCCGGTCTGGGTGCATGTCAGATCTGGCAAGCTCTTCCCTCTGCTGAAGACACACGCATGAGAGGGGCATGATTTTCTTTAAAAAGGGATTTCCAGCTGGAAGTCGCGTACTTGAAGGTGGACTGAGACACTTGGCAGAGGCCAGGGCCCAGAGGATCCGGGCTCTCCCAAAGAGCTGCTAAGAAGCAGGAAAATGCTGTGATTTTAAAGTGTCAAACAGGAAGACCTTCACCCTTCCCAAAGATCTGCAATTCCAGCTGCATCACAGCATGTAGATAAAAGAGATAAAAGCGCGATCTTTGCCCACCTGCCCCTTCAAATCATGCCCGTTCCCCACCATTTCACAGCTGTCCAAGTTTTGGGTCTCCACCAAGTTCCTAGTTCCACCCTAAGGGAACATTATATAAAAAAGAGGGAGGAAAAATATATTAGAATTACTTCCAGTGGTCAAAGTGGCTTATCCCTGAATCAACTAAGGCTTAATTCTCTCCAGACAGTCTGAGATCGGCTACCCCAGGCCTGCCTTTTTTGCACTGAAAAATTCCCCAGAGATCTGAATTGGAAACACGTTCCCATGCAGAAGTCTCTCTTGGAACGCCAAGGGTGCGTTTTTCAGCCATCCCTGCAAAGTACGCTGTTATGTCCTTCCGTACAGGAATACTGCTCTCAGCTTGCACACTGAGAGAGCTCTATTTTTGTGGGACAAATATATAAGAAACAACTGCCTCCGTAACACTTTGACAATAACTAAAAAATAAAATAAAATACACAAATGATTTTGTTGGAAGATATTCCCAATGGTCTGTCTTCAAGGTTGAGACAGAAGCAAACGGGAGCGTTAAGGCACACTGTTTGAGAGGCGAGCGGGGAGAATGAAGGGCCTTGAGCACGTATCAGACAGTGGGGGAGAGGGGGAAGTGGGAAGTCCCTGAAGGGGTTCTCCTCTACTAGGATTTTTCACATGCGTCACTTGCGAATGCACAAGGATCCTTGGCTTGACAAGTCTTAAGACAACTGCTGTTTACTTTCCTTATAAGGAGCCTGGGGTCAAATGAATTACTCTGTTATGTAAAGGCAATCCCTTACGGAGAGCGGAAAGAGGTCGCCAGTGCCAAAACTTGTGGTCGGGGGTACTACTTTGGGGGGGGGCATAAATGGAACTTGTGCTTCAACAGCTGAAGGCAACCATTTGAACCTGTGGCTTCAGAGAAGATGGAGCAAGGCGGTGTACGGCAAAGTTCCTCCCAGTTTAAGCATCCAAAGGGGAACATTTTAAGCGTCACACTGCCAAAATGCCTTCCTGACCGACCCACCTCCGATATCGACAGTCAAGCATCCCTCACAGACGGCTCCCTGTGCAAAAGCTTCTACATTCCCTCGACTGTGCCTGCTTCGTAAGACCTCTTTCTGGGAGCCCACAGTAGGAACTAGGGGGAATCCCAGGCCGTGTTTCCGAAAGAGAAACTATCTAGCAGTGAAGTCCAGCCACTTCAAGCTGTTCCAGTTCAATTCATTAGTGCAGTATTGCTCAACAAAACTGGGAAGGGGGTGAGAGCCAGCTCACTCCCGGCCCTGCTCATGCCATTCGGTGGGGCGGAAATCACATCTAGCATCAGTCTAGCCGCACTGGTTTCTGGTGAGGCAGTCCCGGGCCTGGGTTCGCTCATAAAATGGCCTGCCACATCATCAGACAACACGGCAGCCAAGACAGTCGAGGCAGAAAGGGAAGAAGCCAGGCTGGGAGGAGGGTGAGCTAGAGAACCAAGGAACGGAGGTATCAGTGCAACGGATGGGTATGAAGGGCAAACGGGACCACGAAAGGGAGCGATGCCATTTCGCATTTGCACAAACCATGGAGGGGGGGGCTTGTCAGGGAGCCCCCTCCTCCACCCACCTCGCCCTCCAGGAACAAAGTCACATGCTACAGATTTTGCATTTCTGGTTTGCACTTTTAAAAACTGGGAAAGGGCGAGGGGGGGGGGAAGGGGGGGATTTGAATCACCCGCTGGGCCCTTGGGCATCGCTGCATCTTTTTGTGGTCTTGCAGACGTTTCTTTTTTTTGGGGGGGGTTCCTTTCTCTCTGGCACTTCGTCATGCTTGATGAATTATTCTGTCGGGTGCTGTTGTTGTTTTGTCCTGCTGGTTATTCATTTATAGAAATGTTTATAGACCATTGACACGTTGAACCATGGGGGGGGGGACAAAAAAAAGGACAAAAGAAAAAAAGAACATTGCACTTTGTCCTTTGAAAGAAAGCAAGGCGGGCGCCCTCCGCGCTGGAGGCCTCTTCTCCACTCCCTGTCTTCCAGGTGGCCCCCTGGGCATCGCTGAGAGTCCTTGAAAGTTTTCCAGTGTCACCAAGATCCCTTCCGTCACGCCACCCTCTGGGTGTTTCAGTTTTGTGTCCGACGAGGCCGTTTCGGAGGCTTCCAAAGTGCAAACGAGTCCAAGGCTGGGTCCCCGCCTTGAAGCACCTGTTAAGGTGTATTTGGTTCCAGTTTCAGCCACTGCAAACCCTGACGGGTGTAGGGTACCAGTTCCGTCATACTGCTGTTCAAGGAGAGAGCGCAGGCGGTGGCATTCAGCTCTGAAAAAAACTCTAAGGGGGGGAGAGAGAGAGAGAGAGAGAGATGAAAAAAAAGAATCACATTTGGCTCCTGACAGTGGGCCGGTTCATACCAAGCCACTGAGCAAAGTTTATTTATTAAGATACTGTCATCCCCACCTTGCCTTCTGGGTCAAGTTTGCAGCCTGCCTTCGGTCTCAAAAGCCTTCCTCCAAATCAAGAGGCTCTTCAATTGGAGAAAAAGCTGCTTAATTTGGATTGAGTTCCTTAGGCTGGAGGAAAGGCACTCGTAGGACGGTTACGTTACACAGAACGGCACAAGGCACAGCTTAACACAGGCTAAGGCCACCTTCTCAGCCCGAACACCCAAAAAATATGTGCCTGTGAAGAGGCTGGTGCGCCGACCCGCAGGAGGGGAGAGGGAAGGGCTGCCACTTTGCTGGGTGCATGGAGAGCAAGCGTGGCCCCAGTGTCAGTACCACAAGACCTTCCTTCCATCCCCCGGGGCAGATGATACCTGCCTCAACCCACCACTTGCAGAAGCAGATTTAAGCTAAGTAAGAACATTCTAATTTGAATAACGTAAGCTGGTTATAAAATCCGGAGCCTGGAGGCTCTGAGGCACACTGACAGATGAGGATCTTCTCCATTCCCTTACAGCGCCAACCTAAGCAAGACCTGCCCCCCTTCTACACCAAACTGAGAGCCAGTCTGGTGTAGTGGTTAAGTGTGCGGACTCTAATCTGGGAGAACCGGGTTTGATTCCCCACTCCTCCACTTGCACCTGCTGAGGTGACCTTGGGTCAGTCACAAGCTCTGGCACAGCTGTCCTTGGAAAAGAGCAGTTTGTGTCAGAGCTCTCTCAGCCCCACCCACCTCACAGGGTGTCTGTTGTGGGGAAGGGAAGGGAAAGGAGTTTGTAAGCCGCTCTGAGACTCCAAGTGAAGAGCGGGGTATAAATCCAATCTCTTCTTCTTCTTCTTCTAACTCCACTGATGACAAAGAATTTGGAAGGGGTTAACTCTGCTTAGGACGGCACTGTTAATGTTGAGATCTAGACCGATGCCTGAGGAAGCCCCCACTCACACGGATACAGCAGGATTCCCCCCCCACACACACACACACACTCTGGAACCCCACGGATGGGCAAGAGAGAACAGGCAGGCCTGCGTCCCCCTCTGACTGATTTCAATTACTCTTCAAAAGTCAGTGACTGGAGGACATCAGGCCCACGTTGTGTTTTCCTTTTAAACTAAGTGTTGCATTCTTTTCCAAAGCTCTTTTCATAAACACTCTACTTTCGTGTGGGCGTCAGTGGCTAAGAGGACGGGCTGTCTGTTCAGATGTCGGGGGGAGGGCTGGCTGCTCAGATCCCGTTTCCACCACAAGGGCAGAAGACTGCCTTCCGGCCAGCACTGCCTCCCCCACCCCTCACTATGGCCATCTATCTGTAGTGCGGAGATGATCACAGGGGTCTGCCTCGCAGGGCTTTTGCGAGAAGTACTGCTGTGAGATTTGCGAAGTGCTTTCCATGCTGAAAGCCCAATATAAAGCTCAAGCATCCTTATCTTTAGAACAATTGACAAATCCGTTCAAGGAAACAAACGCTTCTGCCTTAGAAATGCTGGGCTTTGCTGTTTTAGACTGTCACGGCTCCCCGGCTGAGACTTAAATGAGGGCTGATTCACACTTTGCGTGGCAAGGCTGTTTTGCTGCCGCCGTCAACATGGTGTGGCAAACAGCCTGCAGAGCAAAGTAGAGATGGGAGCTGGCAAACATATGGTGGACAATTGCGGATACCTAGAGAGGGTGTCCATAGTGTTCACTGCAAGCTTGCAAACTTCAGATGGCCTCTTTTTCACTCACTGGCATTCACCGATGCAGATGCATTGGTGTGCATTTGAAGCTGCCCGCCTATTTACTGTAACTAAGGGCTACACTGAATGTGCTGTGAGTTCCAGGTTTGGAGCTCCCAGAGATTTTTTTTTTACAGTTCGTTCTCAGGTGTGTGGGGACCAGGTTCAGATCTGCGGGCTTCAGCCTTCCCTGTGGAAGCTGAAAGCATTTTGCCCTCAGTGCTGATCTGAATCAGGGGTTTGTCTGCCCGAAAATTGAAAAGGAAGAGCCCTGCTGGATCAGACCAATAGTCCATCTCGTCCAGCATCCTGCCCCACACAGTGGCCAATCTAGTCACTCTGGAGGGCCAACAACAGGGCATAGAGGCTGAGGCCTTCCCCTGATGTTGCCTCCTGGCTCTGGGATTCAGAGGTTTAGTGCCTCTGCATGTGGAGGTTCCCCATAGTCCCCATGGTTAGTAGCCAGCCCATTGATAGACTTGTCCTCCATTAATCTTATCTAATCCCCCTTTAAAGCTGTTTATTCCTGCAGCCATCACTACATCCTCAGGCAGCGAATTCCACATTTTAATCACTCTCTGTGTAAAGTAGAAACACAGAACTCCCAGCGCATTTCTGGCTTAACCCTCAGGACATTTGTGGGCACACTGAGATCAGGAATTGTGCTCTATGGATCTGGTGAAGCTTTCCAAGGCCTCAAGCCAGAGAAAGGTCTTCCCCAACTACCCCATTAACTGGAGCACTGGTAACTGACCCTGGAGTTCGGCAGCATTTCAAGCCACTGACTCTTGGGCTTTCTGAAGTCCACGTGCCACATCGCAGGTGAACAACTGGGAGAATGCAGAGCTTTCGCGTGCCACAGTTACCAGCCGGGACTGAGGCGAGACAAGCCCTTACTCTTATTCTTCCTGGCCAAAACGTCAGCTTGTTCCCAGAGATCGTAGGCGTAGAGAATATAGGAAGTGATGTTGACGAAGGAAGAGGTGATGGTTGGGATGTGTTGAGGAATGCTGACGGAAGAGCCCATGCTGCCGCCGCCACAGCTGCTGGCGCTGGAGCCCGTCTGGGAGCTTACAGAACTGGCTGGAGAAGGCATCGGAGAAAGAGGAGAAGGGGTTCCTGTGCTCCTGCGGGACAAACGCACAACAAAGGAAGCTTAAGATCTCTCTCGGCCATCCAGTTCCAAAGACAGGCGACTGCCGACATGAACACATGAAACTGCCTTATACTGAATCAAAACTTTGGTCCATCAAAATCAGTATCGTCTACTCAGACTGGCCCCAGCTGTCCAACGTCTCAGGCAGAGGTCTTTCACATCACCTACTATCTGGTCCTTTTAACTGGAGACGCTGGGGATCGAGCCTGGGACCTTCTGCATGCCAAGCGGATGCTCTACCACTGAGCCATACTCCCACCTTTCCTCCCTCACTCATACACACTCAATAAAACACGCACAAGTCTTCCTCAGTCCCTCGTTTATGTAAGCACACAAGTTTTAAGAGCAAATCTGCATTTAATTTACAATTTTCAGCTTGGGGACGGAACTTCCGTTGTCCGCCATCGTGGAGTCAATCTGCATGGCAACTTTTTAAAGAATCGACACACCGCCCACATTAGAGGCTCTTCCCTGCAGTGCAAACGGCTTAGGACACAAGGGGGATACTCAGAGAGCAGAGTAACATCAGGGGAGGTAATTCTGCCAAGATAACAACAGCCTTTTTTAAAAAAGCAGAGTACCAAATTTTTAAAAATTGCTTATTAATTGCTAAGAACATAAGAAGAGCCCTGCTGTATCAGACCAGTGGTCCATCTAGTCCACGATTCTGTCTCACACAGTGGCCAACCAGTTCCTCTGGAGGCCCAATAACAGGGCATAGAGGCTGAGGCCTTCCCCTGGTGTTGCCTCCTAGCTCTGGGATTCAGAGGCTTAGTGCCTCTGAATGTGGAGGTTCCCCTCAGTCACCATGGCTGGTAGCCACTGATAGACTTATCTTCCATGAATCTATCTAATCCCCTTTTAAAGCTGTTTACTCCTGTGGCCATCACTACATCCTCTGGCAGCGAATTCCACATTTTAATCCTTCTCTATGTAAAGTCTAAGCTTAATTGTTGACGACGTTTACAATTTATTTATGTGTTTATGATGCTTCATTTTGGAAGCCACAGAGTAAGTGTTCTGGGGGATGGGGTGGAGCAATTTTTGAAAGAAACGTAACCCTCACGCCAGAAGCAGCAATCGCAGGAGTACGTGCAACTCACTGGAGAGTTTATTTATGTAAATCAGGTGACAAAGGCAAATAACTGAGACAGCACTGGCCTTGGATCAATAGCTGAGAAGGGGGGGTGAGGATTCTGAAAGGTTTAAGCCTATCAGCTGGTAGTTTGAACAGCCTGACTGGTGGTGAACCAGTTCCTGGTCACTGCTGCGATGCTTTCAAAGTGCAGAGCGAGAGCTGAAATCCCTCCGAGCATGTGCAAGAACAGCAGTCACGAATGGCCATGATACACACACACACACAAAAGCAGCAAACCTCCACACTCACACACATTACGCCACTTCCTCATTCCTATCTGAGCCACACATCTGGATTCGCCCAGAAAACTGCCAAACTAAAAGGCACAAGATGAAACCACTGCCCCCGTCACACAAAAATATCAAGACCTTTCTTGAGTCTACGGCCAAGGTTATGAAGAAAGTGACTCGCAGACCCCAACATATTCTTATTGCCGACCTGCTCTTCTCAAAGAAGCTTGGGGGGGGGGAGGTTAGCAACCAAGGGCACTGCTGTTCGGCCCCGTGGCATTCATCACACGAAGGGAGCTTTGCCTCTCCAAAGCCCACCCCCAAAATCTTCTTGTTCTCTATGGTGCTACTGGACTGCCCTCCGAAACTATCTTGTCTCCCATGCTGTTTAACATCTACATGGAACTACGGGGAGAGATTGTGCAGGAGGGTCTGGCGTGAAGAGCCGCCGATGAGCAGGTGACACCCAGCCTCATTTCTCCTTTACAGCAGAGTCTGTTATACAGCACTTATTCTGATCTGCTGTCAGTCTCCTTCAAAGAGTTTAAAGATGCAGTTATAACCTTTGGGAGTGTGAAAAACCCATCGGGAATCCCCTGTCTAGAGGCTGAGAGTGATAATTAAACCCATTCCAAACTCCTCCACCCTCCTATGGTACACGCGGTTCAATACAATTCAAACCCATCAGGGTCTGCTCTTTAAAACAAGAAAAAGGATCAGATCTGCATATTTTCAGTCCTACCTTGCGACACAGGGAGAAGGTGCTTGTGTGACTCGGGAGGAACTCTGCAACAAGGAAGGAAATTCCAGTTAAGATTGCAACTGACACCATCCTAGCACCAGTTTCCGCATTAGATTTCTGACTACTGTCTTAGACATGGAGACAGAATTGGGTAACGAGAGCCACCTGCAAAAACCGGTTCACGTCACGCAAGAAAGAAACGTGATAAAATGAACCTTGAGGTGCACCAAAGTAGGTCGAAACTCGCCTATCGGATTTACTAAGCGTCTGTTCCAAAGACAGACTCAGTAGTGAAGCTGGAGGCAGAAGTATGTTCACACAAGCAGAAAGCTGCACAGGATCACACAGTTTCCCTTTTCCCAGCAATAAAACATGGTGTGTGTTTTTCGGGCAGAAAGGGAGTGTGGATCTTACAGCACCAATGCTACTTTGGTCACACAGGTAGGCCACCGAGGTGAGCTTTTCATTATAGCAGAAGTTGGCTCTACAGCATCACTGGAAGATACTCTAAAGTATCATTTTCCACATGCAGAATTCTTTTGTGTCTTTTGGGCGTTTCCAAATTCTGGAAAGCATGCACATAAGGGGGAGAAATCGTCACAGGCTGTCGAATCCCTGCAGCTCCTTTATATGTGCCATGGAGAATTACCTGAAAGCACATGTTGAAGGTAACGATTTGGAAGCTAATAGCAAAAACAACAAGAGCCCCCTAACCGATGACCTTTCCCTCCCACTGAATAGTTCAATAGAGCAGGGGCTGTCACATGAATGGTCAGAAGCCCTCATGGAGGTTACTTGCGTACAAGGTGGTAGGCTATCTTTGCGGCTTTTCAGCCTCTCTGCAGTATCCAAACACTTTTGGAAAACAGTACCAGTAACAATAAAATAAAATTCATTATGATTATTTTTTTAAATTTTACTTCATTTATACCCCACCTTTCGGCCTAAGGGGGACCCCAAAGTGGCTCCCATTATTCTCCTCTCTGCCATTTTACCCTCACAGCAACCCTGTGAGGTAGGCGAGGCTGAGGGTGCCTGACTGGACCAAAGTCCCCCAGCAAGCTTCTACAGCAGAGTGGGGATTCGAACCTGGGTCTCCCAATTCCTAGTCTGACATTCCAGCCACTACACCCTACTGGCTCTCAATTCAGAGAGATTATTTCCAGCTGGTTTCTATGCCCACGTCAGAGCCGGTCTTCATTCTCCTTCAACGTTTGACCATAACGTTCTAAATTCTCTCTACCTTGAAGTGTTCATTAAGGGTCCGGGAATACTTTATTGCAGTGTCCTTTTTGTAGCGAAACATGGCCATGTACAGAATGGCTTGGCAGCGCATGCTGTGGAAACACAATTTGAAGCAGTGAAGGCAAAATCAGGTCAACTTTATAGCTAGATTAGAGTCCAGTATACACACCCGGACCTGGGTAGCCCAGGCAAGCCTGATTTCGTCTGATCTTGGAAGCTAAGCAGGGCCGACCCTGGGAAGTACTTGGAAGGGAGACCTCCTTGGAATACCAGAGGCAGGAGGCAGGGGCAGGCTATCAAGCCACTTCTCTGAATGTCCTCCATGCCACAGTAGGAGTTACCAGAGGTTGCCACGACTTCCAGGCATGGACACGTACACATAAAATACAAAAAAATACCCCACACACAAACACACAAAATGTCCAGGGTATATGCTTTTGAGAGTCAAAGCTGACAGAGCTTTGGCTCTCAAAGGCTTCTACCCCGAAAATCTATTTGGTCTCTAAGGTACTATGAGACTCAAATCTAGCTGTTCTACCGCAGACCAAAGCGGCAGCCCTCTGAAAAGATATTTTTTTGATATCTTGCTATCGCTCGATACTCAGTGGGCTTTGCATATACCGTGGGGTTAGATTTCTCTCAATCTCGCCCCATTGTGCTCCTTATCTCCGCTCCAACGTGGCTATTTTATATGTGGGTCCCATGATCCTCCACATAATTTTTATGGTGGGGAAAGCCCCCCCCCCCTATTTTCCAGCGGAAAAACCAGACGGATCCAACCCATTATCTCAATCATCTTTACAAGGACCATGTTCCGTAAAAGGTAAAGGTAAAGGTTCCCTTGCTCGAAAGCCAGTCGAATCCGACTCTAGGGTTGCGGTGCTCATCTCCGTTTCAAAGCCGAAGACGTTTCCGTGGTCATGTGGGCGGCATGACTAAACACCAAGGCGCACGGAACGCTGTTACCTTCCCACCGAAGTGGTACCTATTTATCTACTTGCAATTTCTTGCTTTCGAACTGCTAGGTTGGCAGGAGCTGGAACTAGAGATGGGAGCTCACTCCGTCATGCGGCAACTCGGGTCTTGAACTGCTGAACTACCGACCTTCCACAGCCTGCAGTTCAGCGTCTTAACCACTTGAGCCACCGCAGCTCCCCATGTTCCGCAGACTCACATTATTATATCCACATGACAGACTGAGGAGAAAGAAGAGGCTATTCATAATCTAGCCAATGAATCCCTAGATGACCTCTGAGTTTCCCCCCCATTAGTATTTCAGTTTACATCCATGTATGTTTTTATAGATAGCTTTTTCAAATCAAAACACTTGAAAATAGAACAAGGACCCACTCACCATAAAACAGCAAAGATTTTTTCCTGTGTAGTTGTTGAAGAGTCCGTGAAGGATTTTAATGTCATTACGAATCTAAAAGAAGACAAAATGAGACATGGTTGTCGCAATTAAAAAAAATAAACGATATTTTATATGTGGCAACAATGAGTGCTATTTACGCAAGGTCACACTGACAGGAAGGAAACATGGTAGTTTGGGGAGCTGACATTTTTGTGTGTGACCTTTTTGTGACCTTTTCAAAATATAAGCCAAGTGCTCATTCTGGTTGTTATTCTCCCACTGAAGCAAAGCGAGAAGATAAAGTAGGAAATTAACATCTATCTTTTAAAAATGCAGTACTGTCCTCCTAACTTCCCTCAAAAGTACTTAAAGAAACTTACAAAGCACAAGCAAAATATCATTTCCACATAACACCAATGTGGTGTAGTGGTTAAGAATGGCAGACTCTAATCTGGAGAACTGGGTTTGATTCTCCACTCCTCTACATGAAGCCCGCTGGGTGACCCTGGGCCAGTCCCAGTTCCCTCAAAACTCTCTCACCCCCACCTAGCTCACAAGATGCCTGCCGCGGGGAGAGGAAGGAAAGGCGAATGTAAGTGACTTTGAGGCTCCTTAGGGCAGAGAAAAGTGGGGTATAAAACCCCCCTACTCTTCTTCTTCTTCTATCTGAGGGCCCTGAGTTTGACTGGCTCTTCCTTTTTCCAAAACCATCCCTTGCAGTCCAATGGATTCCAATGAGGCCCTCCTTTTCCCTACTCTGCTGCTCTGAACAGCACTTGGTATTCTACGCAGCTCATTCATTTTGAGGGGGGGGTCCAGTGCCTAGACTGCAGTCCTGTGGGCTCCCAACAAACGGCTCGAGGGCTGGCCAAAAAACTCCCATAGACCATATGCTGGCTCTTGGCCTGTCACTTCCCCATCTAAGAACATAAGAACATAAGAGAAGCCAGTGTTGGATCAGGCCAATGGCCCATCCAGTCCAACACTCTGGGTGCGTTCAGACGGGGGATTTACAACGGTTGCTGTGCCGGTTCCAACCGGTGTACTTACGGGCGTTCAGACGGCGAACATCTGCCTCCCGTCCCTAACCGCTGTAAATCCCTTTAAACCATTGCACTCTGCCACTAGGTCCCAAGTGGTGGTAAACAGAGTGCAACGGTGGCTTCCGATGAACCCTTCCGTCTGATCGCTCTCCTCCGTTGCACAGCCAGGCTTTCCCTGGCCATTTTTTAAAAAAAACTAAGCGATATGCGCTCAGGCGAAGCTTCGCCCTGAGCGTTTTTTTTTTTTAAGCCCTTACTTTACCGTCCCGGAGGAGTCCGGGACTACAGGGAGGCCAGGTTGGGCTTTAAACTTTAAAGGTAAGTGCTTACCTTTAAAGTTTAAATGTAAGGGGCATGTGCAAAAATCGCCATTCTCTGAATGGCTGCCTGTGCGCATGCTCAAACTGCTTTTTTTAAAAAAAAAAAACGCCGACGCCCGCAGCGTGTGAGCGGGCGTCCAACGGAGGGATTCGCAAAATGGAGGGTGAGTCTGATCGCGTTTCTGCCGGCATAAACTGCACCGGTGCAGGAGCTCCAGCAGTGGGGCCAGGACACGAGAAGCTCCCCCACTGGCTTCGAAAGTCAGCAAGATCCCCCCACTTACTTGATGAGGTCTATGGTCTCTGCAAACATGGTATATGCTGGCTTTGGTGACAGGGTGTCCGATTCCATTGCAATGCCGCACTCAATGAACGACAGGGCAGCATCCAAGTACTTGAAGGCTTTCCCGACTTTGTCTGTCTGTTGGGGAGAAGGAGAACGCTGGTCAGCCCCAGGAGCCAGGAAGTCCCACGGCTCAAAGGTTCAGGCTGAAACAGGATGCCTGCACATGTTCGACCCTAGTTTGAAATCACGTTTCTCCCCTCCCCTCCATGAACGGAGCATCTGAGCTTAGAAGAGCATTGAGAATTCAAGGGCACAGCCCCGGTGGGAGCTTTAAGTCAAAGCTTGGCAAGCCACTGAAAGAAATCCCATATATTTGAAGCAATAAACACATTTACCGCTTGCCATTAGCCTTAGGTAGTAATCCTCTGGAACACAAAGCAGCAAAGTGGTGCTTTAGGCAGGAAGCTCTGTGGACCGTTTCAGGTAAATGCTTTCATGTACCTGGGCGGACTCTCCGATAGGTTGAAAAAGACGGAGAGAAAGCTTCATGTTTAAGTTTTAGGCAGGGAGAAAGAGAAGTACCAGCTGCTGTCAAGAAGCAAGGGAACAAGCGAAGCATTGGCAGGCACGCCTGGCGCTGGGGTGCCAGAGAGCTTGGAATCGCACCACAGTGGCCTTGTCAAAGAAGCCAAACTATACTCGGTTAGCTCAAGGGCAGTGTTTCCTCTAAGCTGAGTTAGCGTGAGATAGCCCACAGTTTTTTAGCCTCCAGCTCACACTTTGTTGTCTGAGCTCATGAAGAATGGCTCCAGAGCAAACTAATTAATGCAGTAGGCAAATTGCTCACTCACAACTTTCATGCCTGTCGCTCACAAAGTAGAGTTTTTGCTCACAAGACTCCACAGCTTAGAGGGAACATTGCTCAAGGGTAGAAGAAGAAGAGAAGAGATTGGATTTATACCCCACCCTTCACTTGGAGTCTCAGAGCGGCTTACAAACTCCTTTTCCCTTCCCCTCCCCACAACAGACACCCTGTGAGGTGGGTTGTGCTGAGAGAGCTCTGACGCAAACTGCTCTTTTTCAAGGACAGCTGTGCCAGAGCTTGTGACTGACCCAAGGTCACCTCAGGAGGTGCAAGTTGAGGAGTGGGGAATCAAACCCGGTTCTCCCAGATTAGAGTCCGCGCACTTAATCACTACACCAAACTGGCTCTCCACAGAACACCAATGTGGTAGACATTCCCAAAGGATTTCTGCTGACAAAAGGATCGCCACCGAGGCCAGTTTGAGGCACTCTGTCATTCCAAAAGCAAGGCACAACTATCAGCCTCTTGAACCCAGGCAGCGGCAAGGCAGGCCCCAGAGGTGGGGGGCAGTCTCCTCTCATGTTGCTGATAGCGGACAGTGAGTGAAGCCCCTGCGGCATGCTGGGACTCCCACTGTGCCCCCCCCCCCAATTTGCTTAGGTGGTTTGGCTACAGAGCCAGCCCACATTATCGCAGTGCGCTCACTCTATGTTAGTGGAAGGAATGGCCCAGCGTGGACCTGTTCCACAATGTTTGGCAGTCCCGACTCCCATGTCGTGCTACAAAACATCCAGTTTTGTCCCACTCAGAAACAGAGGCCAGGGCGGGGTTCTGTGGGCAGAAGCCACGGATTGATCTGCAACGGCTGGGGTCCTGTGGAGCTGTCGCACTTTCTCTAGCTTGTGAGTGACCACTCTTTGTCCACACCAACAAAGAAGAAACAAGTGCTGTTCTTGGAAACAGGGTGGCACTGAAGGCAATGCTAATTTCCCCACATCTCCTGGGGGCCCACCCCTCTTCGACCAAGCTCTGAACCAAAGGACGTGGGGCACGAACGTCGCCCGTCGTCATGACAACTCAAGCAGGACACCCAAAGCTAAACGGGAGGAACAATAGTGGGCGGAGCCTTGCTGGGGGCTCCACCCCCATTACTCCTTACTCAGATGGCAGCCGAGACCACCTGTTGCCTTCACTGCTGCCTCACTTCCACACAGTGTGCCTTCCGCAGGCACCTCTGGCCCACTGAGAAACTTTGCTCTCATCCCGCTCAAGCTCTGGCTGGGGGTTGGGGCACAGTTAGTACCTGCCCACTCAATCTCTGTCACCACAACGCATGTGATCAGCATCTGCCCTTGTAACACCAGGCACCCAACCATTGCAGGGGCACTCCCTCTCTGCATTCAAAGATCGATGCTCACCCCCCCCCCCCAAACACATCCCTTGTCCAAACTACTGGGCATACCTTAGGAATAAACCAGTTCAAGAATGCTCCAAGGTCGACAGGTAATTCTCGAAAAAGCACAACCTGTGATCTATTCACCAAACACCAGAGGTCCCCAACCTTTTTGAGCCTAGGGGCACATTTGGAATTCTGACACGGCGTGGTGGGCACTGCGGCAAAGGGGCTGCCACAGGAGGCAAGGCCAGCCACAAAAGGATCGCCACAGCTTAACTTCAGTCAAACAGTGCAGATTCTTGTGGTGTGGTGGCAGCTGCCGCCAAGGCAACATTTTTAAAAATCTGCACAACCAAATCTCCAGTAGTCCAATCAGAAGCCTTGCTGGTCAAGAGTCCTGCCTGGCTCCTAAGAACACTTGGCAGGCACTAGAGAGGGTGTTGGCAGGCACTGTGGCCCCTACAGGCACCAGACATTGGGGATTCCTGAACTGCACACAGGTAAGACTACACCAGAAGTGTGTTCAGAGGTGAGCATCAGTCACAGCTCTTTTGAGCCGTGTGTGACAAAGTGAACAGGAAGTCGGACAGGGATCTGGGAAGACCTGAGCTCCAATCCCATATCGACTACAGGCTCAGCTCATGACGCCCTTTAGCAAATCATGCTCTGCTGGTCCAAGGACACTTCTGCAGAATGGGAGTCTTGCGGCATTGACTTAAAAGCCAGTTTGGTGTAGTGGTTAAGTGTGCGGACTCTAATCTGGGACAACTGGGTTTGATGCCCCACTCCTCCACTTGCAGCCGCTAGATGACCTTGGGCAAGCCATAGTTCTGTCAGAGCTATTCTTGAAAGAGCAGTTCTTGAAAGAACTCTCTCAGCCCCACCTACCTCACAGGGTGTCTGTTGTGGGGAGGGGAAGGGGAAGAAGTTTGTAAGCCACTCTGAGACTCCCAGTGAAGGGCGGGGTATAAATCCAATCTCTTCTCTCTTTTCTTCTAAGGACACTTTCACACACTCTGAATAATGTACTCTCAACCCTCTTTCAATGCACTTTGCAACTGTATTGTACTGCATGAAATGGCACCATCCACTTGGAAACAATCGCTGAAGTACACTGAAAGTGCATTCTTCAGCATGTATGAAGGCGCCCTGAAGGGTACCAGGACACTCAAACCGACTAAATACAATAAAAAACTTTTAGTAAGTTACAACTGTTTATGACTCCAGTTGCAAAAACAGTAAAGACAATAAATAAATAAGTTACAACAAGCAACAGAAATAACTACATCCTACTGTACGTAAGCACAGCATATTAATGAATCGGAGCCCTACCTCTTTCCTCGTCTTGAAATCTGGAATCGTTTCTACAGCTGAGTGCCCTTAGAGCAGCCAATCACACTTTGCCTATTCCCACTCATGAAGCGCAAACATATTTTCTTAACAGACCACTGGCCAGTTTGAGGACACTACCCCATGTTTGGACTTACCGTTGCATCCGCTTTGTGCTTCAGCCTCTTGGCCTCCTTTAAGTAATATTCCACCGGATGTTGTCTGAAAATTAAAATTTGAGGGGGGGGAGGGAAATGGTTTAAAAGAAATACACTCATAGCTAAAATATTGGGCTGCTCTTTCACCTGTTGATCCACCCTTCAAATTAAATTAACCAGCACGCTTCATCTTAAGGCCCCACTGGACTCTTGCTCTTTTCTACTGCTACAGACAGACTAATGTGGCTACCCATCTTGATCCAGCATGCTTTTAGAACATAGTTTGAGTCCGGTGGCCCACATGGCTACCCACCTGAATCTATCAGCATGCTTTTAGCTATGCAATGCATTAATGGATTCGCTCTACACACCAAATAATCCATTTTCTTTAACAAACACATGAAGAGGAGGAAGCAAGAAGGGAAAGTGCAAAATGAGAGACGGGGGGGGGGATTCTTACTTGTGCGGCTTGCTTTGAGGTTTCGTTGGCTTGGAGGTACCGTTTGGCAAAGAAGGCACTGGGAAAAGGTTAGAAACGTCCTCTGCAGATCCCTAGGGAGGCAAGGGAAGAAAGACGTCATCTAGTGGCAGTCACAGCAAAGCTTCTGTCTTTCCAACGTGATTACTTGTTTCCCCTGTCCACAGATTTAACTTTCCATCTTTTTTTCTACAATAAAACCCAGAGGATGAAGAACTATGGCTTCCCGCTAGCGATGTTCCAACATGCTGCGAATTTTGCAGAGGGTGTGTGTGTGTGGGGGGGGGGATTAAGTCACGGGTTTTTCTTGGTGGCAAAGCCAAACCTGAGATTCAGGGGAACAAAAGCCCAGAGTGAGCTGTTCCGTTCTGTATGAAGCAACGCACTTGGCCCCTGGCAATGCTAAGATGCAAAACAACCACCACATACACACTGGCTTCTTTTGCACGGGAGGCAGGTGATCTCAGAGGATAAAAGAAACTTCAAGCTAAAGGTGAAATCTGAGACTAGCTTCACAGTTTCCAAAGCAGTGAGATGTGTTAATAACAGTCAAAAACAAGTGGCCAACTTGGAACCATAACCTAAGAAACTGCCGATTGATAGATTGGCAATATGGTCTCTCTTTGCTGCTACAAATCCAGGACAAAGGCAGCTGTGGGTGGTGAAGAAGAAAGACAGCTTTGTTTTCACCACTTCACCTGAAGGCCACTTTTACAGAACTGGGAGACTGCCACACTACTGCTGCCCTGAACACTGTAGCTATGAAGAGAACACTATTCATTCCCTAAGAATCAGATCATTCTAAACAATTCTAGCCTGGAATTTTGGCCCAAATTGGATCATTCCAAAGGTTCTAGCTTTGAATTCTGCCCCCAACCCAGTTGTTTAAGGGTTCTAGCCTAAAATTCTGGCCCCAACCAGTTTGAGGGTTCTAACTTTAGCCAGTTTGGTGTAGTGGTTAAGTGTGCGGACTCTAATCTGGGAGAACCGGGTTTGATTCCCCACACCTTCACATGCAGCTGCTGGATGACCTTGGGCAAGCTGTAGTTCTGTCAGAGCTGTTATCTCAAGGACAGTTCTCTCAGAGCTGTCTCAGCCCCGCCTACCTCACAGGGTGTCTGTTGTGGGGAGGGGAAGGGGAAGGAGTTTGTAAGCTGCTCTGAGACTCCAAGTGAAGGGCAGGGTATAAATCCAATCTCCTCCTCCTCCTAATTTGGAATTCTGCCCAAAGCAGATCATTCTAAGGGTTCTAACCTGGAATTCTGCCCTCAACCAAATCATTCTAAGGGTTCTAGTCTAGAATTCTGACCCACACTGGATCATTCTAAGGACTCTAGCCTGGAATTCTGTTTACTAGGACTAACAAGTGAGATGCCTCCGGAAGATCAAAAGCAACAACTCTAAGTTGCTGCCGATCTCCAGCACCTGGGATTCAGAAGCATCCTTCCTTTGACAATGCCATTTGGCAATCATGTGCAATAGCCACTGACTGATCTATGCATCTGTGCAATTCTCTTTTAAAAAGCCATCTAAGTTGGTGGCAAGGAATTCAATGTGTGCCCACTGCTTGCTTTAGGCAGGCTCTTTAAAAATGTTTTATCTAGGACCAACATATCTCTCTCCTAACAATAAACTAGATTTTAAAACATCCTTGAGTTTGACTGTACAGGAGACGCAGAGTGGCACAGGGCATGAAATAAAGGTACGCAGGCATACAGGTTGTGTGTGTACAGTTCCCAAAAGTGATCCTCTTGTGACACATGGTTTAAGGCTACCTTGGGAGACTGGAACCAAGCCTAAAGATGGTCAGGAAAAGATTCCTTGCAACTGCTCCCCTTCTCTCATATGGCCCCCCTGAGGTGGAGCAGAGGCCAGAAATAAACCCATATTTTTTTTTAAAAAAAGGCCTGAGTTTCTTGGCTATTCCTGCGTTTGTTCAGACATAAAAAGTCTGGCTCCAACAAGAGGCACACTTAAACTAGGAGTTGGATCCAGGCTACCTCTTCTGTCCACACGAGGCACTTTGGCGATGGAACACCATTTCCCTGCCCTCCCGTCTCAGTGCAGCCCACCGATCTCCCTGAAATGCGGCTCCCAGGAGACAGGGAAGATCATGAGAGGCAAACTGTGGGTCCATAACAGGAAGGGAGGAATTGGTGGAAATTACCCCTCTCCTGTTAGCTGAAAATTTAGTCTAGGTCCAACCCCATTTACAAAAATACCCCGTTTTTGTTTTTTTTAAAGCATTAACTTCCCACTCCCCTGTTCAATTTCTTCTTTCCCATCCAGTTTTATACAACCTGCACCCATGAGGACACTTTCAGAGGGTGGCCATGTTGGTCTGCCGGAGGACAGCCAGATCCGAGTTCAGCAGCACCTTAGAAACCAGCAAGATTTGGGGGGGCAGGAGCTTTTGCGTCAAAGCGGTCTTCACCCAACACAAGTAGTATCTGATAAAGTAAGTTTTGACTCTCAAAAGCTTACATACCAAAAATCCCGTTGGTCTCCGAGGCACCACTGGACTCAAATCTAACCTTCACCTAGAATTCAAACATGCTTATCCTAGATCCAAACTTTTTACAGGCCTGAGAGAGGCATACTTAGATCTATTTAAGCAGCCCCGGAACAGACACCGTCAGGGGCTTCCACCTACTTTGCCGATCTTTGAGGTTTCGGAAGGCTTTCCTTCCATTTTCCTGTGCTTGGAGGATGACAAGTCCTTGTGGCTGCTCTCCTTGCTCTTGGCAGTGCTGCTACCGAGTCTGGGGGGCGGCTGGCTGGAGGGACCGCTTTCGCTCTTTGGCCTTTTCTGAGCCGTCTTGGCTGGCTTCTCGGCAGGCGGCGTGGGAGACCTCGGTGGCAGTGGCATCTCTTTCCTCTGTGTTGTCTCTACTGACATCTTTGAAGCCCTAGAGATGGAGAATCCGATCGGTATTTTAAGGAGTGCGGAGGAACACAAAAGATCTGAGGGTGGGGTGGGGTGGGGAGGCAGGGAAAACGGGAATTGAAGCGTGTGGGATAGCGGCCCCATTTATTTAATGGGAGGTATTGAAAACGCAAGATAGCAAAGTGACAAAGAATTCATCAAGGGCAATAAGGGATATCAGGGGCTTTCTGGTGACTCACTGTCGATAATAACACGGAAGGTGAAACCGGGGGGGGGGGGAATGCACGCAGGAGATTAGTCATTCAAGTTTTATCTCTACAGGAGATCTGGAGTTTAAAGGAGATGATGATGCGTAGGGTCGCTGAGGATTTAATTTAGGTGCCGGAAGGCACAACAGTTTGTTCTTCACAGTGGCGAGGATCCAAAAAAAACCTATTTTAGGTGTGTCCAAGAAGCCTGGATATACCCCATGGGATTTTTCTTCTCGCTTCAAACAGCAGATCCTGCCCACCCACATCACATATCAAACCATTTCTAAATCTCCCATCAGTCTTCACAAGTGTGTGCCATTTGGCTAGGGTTGTCAACAGTGGTCACTGGGGTTGGGTCGGAGGGAGGTATTTGTGAATCTCCTGCATTGTGCAGCGGGTTGGACTAGATGACCCTGGAGGTCCCTTCCAACTCTATGATTCTATGAACTCCCAGGAGAAAAAAAAATTGCCCCTTAAATAGAGGGTGCCGTTTACTTTCATGCCATGAAAAGCTTCAGCTGCCCATTTTTACACATTAAGCCTCCACTGAAGGGACAGGACATTCTCCTCCAAGCCTGCTGGAAACCTGCACGTGGCATAGGACTGGGGGTGGGGTGGGGAGACTGTGGTTCAAGAAACACAAGCCCAAAACCTCACTGGATAAACAGAGCTTGTGAAGTTTTGGGGGGTTCTGGCCCACTTTGGCAAAAGAACATCTCGACTTCCAGCAAAAGACTCAGAAGAAGCAACGTTCAGACCTTCTGCATTGCTGACTTACTGCACATTAATGTCTATTTCACATACACGGATCATGAATTTCATTAGCAGCTTCCGTACCATGGAATGACAACTCAGAGTTGTGTAGTAAAATCCAGAATGATTAGGTCTGTAACATTTAATCCAAAAACGGTGAAGCTATTCAGTACCCAGGAATATATCCAGGTTGGTGGGACCATGCTTCTTGGCCACCATTTATGGCAACAGAAACTTTTCAACTACCCTCAAGGATGCAGCCTGACATTGTAGGACTATATATTCAGGTGGGTAGCCATGTTGGTCTGAAGCAATGGAACAAGGTTTGAGTTTAGTGGCACCTTCAAGACCAACAAAGTATAATTCTGGGAATAAGCTTTTGTGTGCACGCACATTATCTGAATTCAGTGCGACCAACAGGATGCATGAAGCAGACCTGCTGGACCTTCAATACTCAACCGGCAGTCCAATTTTTGCAAATTCCAGTGGTATAAGCTGCCCAAAGCCATCTAGAAAATTTTACTGCATAATTGCAAACAGAGCTTCACTTCTTCAAACCTCATTATTTTCAAGTAATCATCTTGTGCAATTCATTCCTACAAAGAAAAACGCCACACTTGCAAGTGTGCCCATTATCAGCACCTTGACTTTGTATAGCCATGATCCAAACATGTTGTGTGTGTTCAGCATCTCAGGCCACGGCCACTCAGCCCGGGTTAGATATTCTGAACGGAAGCCTATCAACCATTCAGGAGGAAGGACAGAATTGTACCCACCATTCCCTGTCCCAAACAGCCAATCAGTACTATTTGGCACACCTAACTGGAAGACAGGCCTGCACAGCCCTGATGGCGGCCTGAGTTCGGGTAGTTCACACGCAGCATGAAGCTGTGCCCACACACCCCTTTCAGGTGCACAGAGGGCTGCTTCCAGCCACATCAGACATTTAACCTGGATTGGGGCGTATACATTCAGGGTTTAAGGCTTAGGCATTTCACCAAGTTCGGACAAGAACAAAGCCTCAGCCTACAGAACTGACTTGTGGTTCAAAAGGATTCAGTGGAAAAGAACAGGCTGAACCAACACCTCAATGCTAACGTGGCATATATTTGCTAAATTAACATAATCTGCATATTATAACAACCCAGTATTTGGGGACTGACGACAAAGCCCCTTGGTGGTTTAAGTATCAGGAAAGAGATCTCTAGGACGCAGCAAGGACGCACTATATACTCCGCCTTCTGCTGGGGCCATGCTTGATCCAAAAGATAAATAAAAGTTCAATGTTTGAAATGGACAACTCGGGCTCTGCTCTTGATCTCCTTTGCCACCTTTTAAAAATTCTGGCAGTTTTGGACTCACTTGTTTTTACTAGAGTCTTTGTGACTTGACAACGAGGGCAATTTGGTTTCTTTCTCCATCTTGATCTTCTTCTGATCATCTCTGGGCGTTTCTCCTTGCTGGTAACACAGGAAAATGCAGAGCTCAGTAAATTAAAGGTCTTGGGGTTCCAAATCCAGCTACGTACCTTGGCACAGCCTGAACAGAACCGGCACACGGTTGCAGGAATCACAAGAACCAGGTGCTTGCTGGGGAGAGGGAAGGGACAAAATCCAGCCCTGTTTCCCTCCATCACACTCCACCCCTCCCCATCTTGAACAGCTATCACCAGCTTTCTCAACAGATGGAGGAACATTATGCTCCCAGCAGCTGAAACAGCTGAAGAACCACAACTGTAGCACTGGTTTGTGCTCGTGGATCCTCATCCAGCTAGGGATATGCACGAGGGCTATCGTTCTGTGCACACATTTCCTGGATTACAGCATGAATGTAGGGAGCACAGGAAGCAACTGGAACCCCAGTTTAAAATGTGGCCCCACCCAAACCCCAGCATAGCCACAGAGTTCACCACTCTATTGTATGCACCTTCTGCAAAACAGACCACAGGCAAAGGGCTCTTCAACTGACTTCAGCAGCAGCATGAAATATAAGATCGGGTTTTGGCTTTCTGCCGATGAAGTACAGCTGCTCATCCCTGGGCATAAGCAAAGAATGGCAGCAAATGCTCAAGGGCTCTAGAAGAAATGATCTGCCAGATTTCAGATTTTTCTGCAAACCTGGGGTGTTCTTTGGGTTTGTAGAAAAATCTATCTTGTCTGGATATGGCCCCAAACTCTGGATTCATGCAGCCACAGATTTGGCCATGCTGAAAATTAGACATATTGACAGCTGAAAATGGGGGCAGGGGATAGATAAAATGTAGATTGGTTGGTGGGTAGGAAGGAAGGAGATAAGGAAGCAGTGAATGGTGAGGATGCAGCACTTACCAGGAGGCGGGAAAGCGAATATAGTGTGGGGCGGGGGACAGGGG